GCATATCCCAAAGTTTCTCTGAATTACTCAAGCCCCTTCACCATGATGAGGCAGCAATCCATGAAGGTGCTCTCTCTTGCTCTCTCTCTCTCTCCATATAGTGAGATGGCATAGATATAGTGAGATGACATAAGAAATATTTTAGCTTATATGTGGAGCTGACACAACAGACCCTTGGTTGTACATCTCACCCTATCTAAATATGAATTATCTAGAAATACACAAAATATGTGAAGCCTGAAAATACTTTTCAAACCAGTAATTGGAAGTAACTAGTAACAAGCAACATAGTAACAGTTACTTGCAACTATTTATTTTTTGAATGACCAATTCTGTAACTAATGGATACAAACTTGATTTTTAGCTGTAACAAGTAATACCTAATTACTGTCAAAAGTTGTTTTTACTAGCACATACAAGCCATTTTACAGAAGTTTTCCAAGATAACATATACAAAACATAAATAAAACAATAGCAGGTTTAAAACAATTTAAACTATTGAGTAACTTTTTCCACCATTTTGTTTTCTCTCAGGTGATATGGGTGCCCAAGGACCAAAAGGTATGTCTAGAACTCTTCTGTACCCATGTACTAAAAATATGTATTCGTAATAAATTTTGTTTATATGAAATTAAGTGCACACAGTTGAACTGCTGCGGCTATTAGGAATTCTTAGCCTGGGACTACACACTGTCAGAGATGAAAGAGAAATTTTGCATTGCTCAAAATACATGGGCTCTGTCAGCCACTAGATGCCAAGGAAAGTCTTGCTCAGTTTCTCTGTATCTCAGTGTATAATGTTGCCACTTTGCCTTTATACAAAAAGGAGTCTGATTCGCAAAGGACATATTTCAGAGTGGTACAAAGAAGCAGAGGTACAGGCTTTCACATTTAACGACACTGTTGAGCACAGGTGGGCCCCTAGTTTCCCTTTGATTTTTGTATTTTGCAACAGTTGCCAGCCTAAGGAAGCTTCAACATGTCCAGAATATGGCTGCCCAATGAGTAAGGGGAAAAAATAAACACCACCATATTTCCCCAATCCTAGCCAACCTACACTGGCTTCCTGTATGTTTCCAAATGAGTTTCAAGGTTCTATTATATAAAGCCCTAAATGGTTTGGGACCTTGGTAAATGGGAGAACGCCTACTCCCAGTTGAGAATACCTGTCCTACTTGTTCCTCCCAGCCTGGACGGCTGATAATGTTAACCCCAAGGGAGGCCTGGAAGGAGAGAACAAGGAACCGGGACTTCTTGGCAGTTGTGCCCTGCATTCAGAATGAACTGTCAACTGAAATTTGCCTGAAATTCACCATCCTTAGTATCTTTCAAGAGAGTTTTAAACATCTGCCTAGAGTACATCTGCTGAGCTAGAAATTTGCCATCCATAAGCCTTTTATTTTACCACCGTTTATTTTTGACCTGTTTAATATATAATTAAAATTGTTTAATTAAATAAATTTTGTTTTAATTACATTGTTTTCATGTCATGTGATTGTAAACTATTCAGACTGATCATTGGTTAGATGGGTGGTTGGCAAATAAATAAATAAATAAATAAGAAATTAAAAGAACTGATCTTAATTTTCTACATCTTTGTTTTTGCAGGAGATCAAGGGCTCCCTGGCATACCAGGTAAGCACCACTTAGGAAGCACTGTTAAAACCAGCAAATTGTGTATTTTCTAAGCATGTGAAAAAAAGCAGAAAATCGCAATATCAAGATGGTATCACTGCTGGTTAGTTAGTTATGTGCTGTCAGCTAATAGGGATTTCAAAGTAAATGAGATATTCAAGGAATGGCTTTATCAGTTGCATCCTTAGTGAGTTGCCATGGCTGACTAGGGATTCAAACCCACTCCAAACTATACAGAGTCCAAGTCTGTTGCTCTATCCACTATGGCCACACTAGATATCCTCATGAATATTTATAATCTCTGAGTATTAGGAGACTATGATATGATGTTCAAAAATCTGCCCTCCAATTTGCCAAACAAAGAACATGAAAATCAAGTACTTAATATGAAATATATTACCATTGGAGTTCATTTGAAATAGTAACACCAATGGGCTAAATCCAAAGTTAGCTCCAAATAGAATCATTGGAATAAATAAAGCAGATAAGAACCTAGATACTTCTCCTGTATCTAGTCTATTGATATATATGGGTGCATTGTAGTTGTGACTAACAATGTTTGGAGTGGGTTTACATTATAGAAATTAGTAGTAAAATCAAAATCAGACACAAACGTTTGTAAATCTAAATAGATATACAACCAATGACATTTTGAATCAATGAAGCATTCATGAATGTACTTTCTGCCATGGTTAATTTTGGGTTTCAAAGCAAAACAAAACTAGTAGTACTGATTTTGTTTTAGCCTCTCCCATTCTCCCCCATTCTGAGTAGAGAGTAAGATGCCTTTTTTTAATGAGCTGTTCTCTCTCTCACAGGTCCTCCAGGTTCAATAGGTCACCCTGGGCCAGAAGGGCCAAAAGGACAGAAAGGCAGCATGGGTAAGTGAACATGGCCAGCCACTTCACCCTCTTAGATTGAACAGACTGAACATGCATAGACTTGGAAAGTCAAACTTCAAATTCTGTTATTATCTCATTTGTGACCATTGTGGTCCATCAAAGCGAGTATGGAGGTGTACTAGGTAGGACTTAGCATACTTTGAGATGAGGATCCTAACCTACTAACTCTGTGCAGGTGAAACTGGCATGGAGGGTCCTATGGGACAAAGAGGACGGGAAGGACCTCCAGGACCTCGTGGAGAAACTGGTCCACCTGGAGTTGGAGAAAAAGGCGACAGAGGTAAGTAATTGCATTATGACCTGTTGCTCTCCATAATAAAATTATTGTATTATGAAGGTTCCAAAACTATTGCTTCCCTTATAAATATCTTTTTGATTCTGAAAAACTACTACCAGAGGTAGGGGAAGAATTTATGTGCAGTGGGGCTTCCATAGACTCAGTCTGTTAGGAAATGCCTTGTGGTGGTGTACATTCCAAAACACACTCAACACTTCTCTGTATCTGAACACAGCTGGGGAAATGCAGTAGGGGTAGGTGACTATCACCATACATAGAAAGCTGTTCTACCATTATTTATCTTCTCCTCAGAAATTGCTGCTATGATCCTAAGGAGTGTCAGAGTTTGAAAATAATCGTCCTCAGCTGCATAGTTAGAATGATAACTGTGACATAAGTGCAATCACCCAAACAACAGTACTCTGACAAAAATATGGCTACCCGCTAGGATAATAAGAGCAAGTGGCATAAGTCCAAGTGACATAAATGTCAGAAAGTTTGGACACTGTGGCCAAAAGAGATGAGCTTTATTTCCCATAATATGTTGCCTATTGTTCTTTTATTATTCGTTAATCACAGATACAGAAGGGTTAAGAATCAAACTGTATCTTATTCAGATACTCAGTATATAGGTTGCCAAATGTTTGTCATTCAAATAATGAAATATTAATAAAATAAGGGTTAAGAATCAAACTGTATCTTATTCAGATACTCAGCATAAAGGCTGCAAAATGTTTGTCATTGAAATAAATAATGAAATACTAATAAAAGATGGCATCTGGTAATTTGTTTTGTGACTAGGGAAACAATACTTTGTCTATCCAGAGTCCTAGTTATCTCAATGACATTGAGGATTGAGGTGACTGAAGAGGGGATTAGAAAATGCTATTTAATGGCCATTATTCAAAGTTACCTAACTGTAAGTGAGCAATGGCCTTATGTTGCATTTGGGGGAAAGGTTAACCTAGCTGCCTCACATACCACCTACTGCTTGCACCCCAACATCCATCTGGATGAACAATGTCTCATTTCTAGGACCAGAAAGAGAAGCATCTGGTGTAGGAATGAGCAATAGTGTTGAATATTTGGTTGTGGTGTTTTATATTTAAGGAGAAATAGGCCAGAAGGAATCAAATTTCAATAGATTACTAACTTTTTTTCCCATTTTTATATCTAGGTCCCATTGGAGATCCCGGATCTCCAGGTCCACCTGGTGCCCCAGGTTCTGTTGGTTTGAAAGGTAAATTTGGTATCTGGTGTTAGAATTCAGTAATGGTCTATAACACAAGGTAGCTGGTGATGGATTTCTTTTCTGTAGAGGGCCATAACCCCTTTGGGCTAAGCAGTTAGGTATAAAACCAAGGTCAGCAAAAGGTGGGATTATGTGTACACAGGATCGTTTCCCATTCTTTTGTTTTCCATCACTATTTCCTTCCCCAGTAGGCTGCCAGAGGAGGGAGAGGTTATTTCTTTATTTTATTTATTTACAGTAAATTGTTCCTAGTTATCCAAAAGACTGTATCTCCCTGTATGAGCCTGCCTGGGTTTTAAGATCAACAGTGAGGCATTTCTCTCAGTCCCCCCACCCCCACCCTTACAGGTGAGGACATGAGAGATGGTCTTCTCTGTTGATGCTCCCAAGCTGTAGAACTCCCTCCTATGAGAGGCCAGGCTGACCCCATATTTACCATCCTTCCATAAGCAGGCAAAGACCTGTTTTTTAGGGCAGACTTTCTCTTAGTTCCTGGCTACCTAAGAGGTTTTTTAAAATAGGTTTTAAATGTGTTTTTAGAACTGGTTTTATCTATTAGTTGTAATATTGTATATGTTTCATTATTTCTAATGTTATATGTGTTGCTTTTTAACTTCTAATGCTGTTTGTTTTAATATTGTAAGCCACATCTTGGATTCTCTTGAAGAGGAAGGCAGGGTATAAATATTTTCAATAAATAAATAAAATTAATTAATTAACAGGGCTTTGCTTTTCAATCTGTTGCCCTTACTGTTACAAAAAAATTGCTGAACTTGAGAATCAAGCTATTTTGTCTCAAGACAGATGCACTCTGCCCAGTATGTGCAGCACTGAAACTGAAAAGAAAAGCCTGCTCTCCTAGTCACTGAATTGTAGAAATGTAAGCTAAAAGCCTACTAATGGGGAATATGGCATTTTTGCTACTTTTGAATCTTTTTTAATAGCTTTGTTTTGGGTAGCTTTTCTCTTTTTTTCAGTTTTGTTCAGCTCAGTTTGCTAATTTTTTCCCCACTTTTACATTTGAATAACAATTAAGAAGTTATGCAGGCTAGGAGAGATATGAGTTGTAGGGCAAAAGCCTTTGGAATGCCATGGTTACACTGCCTTGTATTAAAATGAAGACTTGAGCCACAAGGTTGGTATCTCAATTGTCAAAAAAGTCTTGAGAATTTCATTTCTGAACTGTCAGAGGTTGTCTTTGCTTTAGCAGTTGAATGAGCACTTATCCCTGTAGGCCCCCCGTGATCCTGGTTCAACCTTAGGACAGTTACAACAGAAGTGGATGCTCTCATATGCTTGCAGATGGATGCTATGAGTGTTCCACAGTTGATCACACAATTTGTGACAAATTGCAATATTTTCTCTTCCAGGTATGATGGGTTCACCAGGGCCCCAAGGTCCTACTGGTGAGTATCATGTTCTCATTATATAGCATATTATAAAATACAGCAAATCAAGGTATTATTTACTGTCAGAACATGCAAAGTTACTTTCAGGAATGAAAACAATTTGAAGAAGAATGAATATAGTGAATCCATCTGTAATGAATGAATATAGTGAATCCATCTGTAATGGAGCAGTGGTAGGATGGGTCCCAAAGTATCATCCTGCCACTGTTTGTTTGTTCAGTCTTTCATTCATTCATTCATTCATTCATTCATTCATTCATTCATTCATTCATTCATTCATTCAGCTTCTACGTACACTGCCCATCTAGTGGTACAGTATGCCACTACTCTGGGCAGTTTTCAACATAAGACATAAACGTAAGAGCTCACACACATACCCAACCTACAGCAGTATAAAAGCAGGCCCAAATAGAATCCAGCATGAACAGCTTAGAATGCTATTATATTAATTACTGTACTTTTAAAAGTAAATTCCCAAACTTTGGTTAACGTGTAGTAAATTGCATCCTTATGTCTCCAAAATAATGGAGTTACATCAACATAAAGAGATTAAAAATTAAAAATACATTTGAGCTATTTTCTCTTTTAAAATGTGGTAAGTTGTCACTTGCTTCATCTTGCTTTTCTTTTAGGTCCTCCTGGGCTTCAAGGATTTAGAGGTGAACCAGGACTCGCTGGTGTTAAAGGTATGATTTGGAGCCCACATATACGGTACTCATTGGTGCAGAAGAGAGAAAGATACTTCTTAAGTTACATCTCTTTGGGTAGATGTGGCAGATTGCAGAAACCATGTCCTCCTGCTCAAAATTTTGTTTTAATGGCATCTCTTAACAAAGCCAGCATGGGTTTGTTAAGAACAAGTCGTGCCAAACAAATCTTATTGCCTTCTTTGATAAAGAGACTAAATTAGTGGACCAAGGAAACACAGTGGATATAGTATACTTAGACTTCAGTAAGGCATTTGATAAGGAAAACCACAACCTCCTTCTGCGTAAGATAGAATGAAGTGGGATAGACAGCACAACTACCAGATGAATTTGCAGCTGGCTGATGAACTGTACTCAACATGTGGTCCTCAATGGAACCACATCTACGTGGAGGGAAGTGTTCAGTGGGGTCCCTCAAGGTTGTGTCTTGAGCCCAGTGCTCTTCAACATCTTCATAAATGACCTGGATGAGGGGATTAAAGGAACACTCATTAAATCTGTTGATGACACAAAGCTAGGGGGAATTGCTAATACTTTGGAAGATAGACTCAACATTCGGAAGGATCTAGACAGACTTGAACTATCCAATAAGATGCTGCTCAGTGGCGGGAAAAATAAGGTCTTTAGGTAGGAGTAACCATCCTGTACCAGCACATAGGTGGTACCTGGCTCAAAAGTAGTATCTGTGAGAGGGATTTAGTACCGCCACCTAGGGATGAGTCAGCAGTGTGTTGCAGCTGCCATACTGCCACCTAAGGATGAGTCAGCAGTGTGTTGCAGCTGCCAAGAAAGCCAACACAGTCCTAGGCTGCATCAACAGGGGGATAGCATCAAGATCACAGGAAGTGATAGTACCACTCTATACCATGCTGGTTAGGCCGTACTTAGAGTCCTGTGTCCAATTCTGGTCACCACAATACAAAAAAGATGCTGTGGCCCTTACTTGGAGTCCTGTGTCCAGTTCTGGTACCACAATACAAAAAAAAGATGCTGAGGCCCTGGAAGGGGTGCAGGGAAGAGCAACAAAGATGAGAAGGAGACTGGAGACTAAATCCTATGAAGAAAAACTTTAAAAAACTCGTTATGCTTAGCTTAATGAAGAGAAGACTGAGGGGACACATGATAGTCTGAAGGGTTGCCACAGGGAAGAGGGCATTGATTTATTCTCCATTGCACCTGAGGGTAGGACAAGAACCAATTGGTGGAAACTTGTCAGAGGGAGATCCAACCTTGAAATAAGGAGGAATTTCCTGACGTTGAGAATCATTAAGCAGTGGAACAGCTTCCCTCCTGATGTTGTAGGTGTTCCATCTCTGGAGATTTTCAAGAAAAGATTGGACAGCCATCTGTCCGGGATGGTATAAGGTCACCTGCCTGGGCAGGGGGTTGGACTAGAAGACCTTGAGGGTCCCTTCCAACTCTGCAACGATTCTATGATTCTATGATTCTTGAGACCAAAAACAAAGACTATAAATAATTTAAATGGTGAAAATGACTTGAATATATGCATGAGCAATAAATAGGAAAAGATGATAATGCCTTGTATCTTTTTCCATGCATGATACTGAAGGGAAGAATATTAGGACACTATTCATTTATCTAAAACATCATTCCAAGTTCTTCAGTGAGAAAGGCTCCTAGAGTGGCTTACATACAGCCAGTAACTACAAGGTAGCCTGTATCTTCAGATTTACACTCTCAGAGACACAGCATGAAAGGGAAAAGGAAAAGAAATAGATGAGGAAAATGCAGACAACAATTCTTAATGTTCCATGCTAGAACAGAATGACACAGCGGCCTCTCTGAAAACAGTAGTTTGTATGATTAACAGCCCCCTGGAATTAAAAGAAGTTAAAGTGGGGAGAAACCAAATGATGATGATCTTTCAGAACAGCCAATGAAGTGCCTTTTCATTCCTCCACTGAAGCATAAAGGCATCAGGTGCATTTGTTCCTATAATACGGTGTTAGGAATATTTTGTATGTGTGGTATGTGGTTTCTCTCCCCAGTATAGATGAATAATTTCACCCTCCAACATTATTCTGCATTAAATACCTTATCTCTGTTGTTTAGGCGAAAGAGGACCAATGGGACCATCTGGGCCCAAAGGTATGTGTGTCAATTAGATGTATTTTTCCAGTGACTTACAGGCTTCTCATTCTCCAGTATAACTTCTCACTGAAATACTATTTGTACCTTAGTTATGAAGGTTGGTTGACTTTGAGGGGAAAGTTTTAACATCACTTAACATAACCTATTGCCGCTCTGTTTTATTTCTAGGTGAGCAAGGGGAAAAAGGACCCCGTGGTCTTACAGGTATGTAGAAAAGTGTGAAGGATTATGACATGTTACCACTAGACATGGGATATTCGTATTTATATCCGAGGGGGTACCTAGGGAAACCGGACCCTCCCCCTGACCCAGCAAGTCCACTTACCGCTCGACAGCATTGTTATTGTTGCGCCAATATGAGAAGCAGCCTAGCCAGCACCTCCCTGCACAGCTCACCAGGAGATGGGATGAAAAATGTCCCCACTCAGCTGTTGAGGAGTCAGCTGTGTGAGGAGGCAGGAAAGTACTGGCCAAGCTGCATCCCAGATTGGTGTGATGAGAACAACACTGGCAAGTGGTAAATGGACCTGCCAGTTATGGGGGGGGGGATCCATTTTTCCCAGGCACCTGTAATGCCAGTATTCATATTTGTATCACCAGGGATGCAAATTTGAATATCCTATGTCTAGTTACCACATGAACATCCATGTTTGTACATTTTGACTTAGGGGTCTGTACAGAAGGCTATAACTTTTGAACTAGAGAATAGGGGACTCAAGAGAGTCGTGGGAATCTCTGAAGCAGAATGAGGCAGTGACCTCGGGCAGCAGATGAAGGCAGTGGCAAGGCACTGGACAGGAGAACCTGTATACCTCCCATTATGCCTTGCATTCCCTAACCTGGCCTACTGCCACAATTGCCACTTCAGCTGGCTCTTGTGCATAGAACAGGAGAGAGTGCCATCCTGTTTTGCACCTCAGGCAGCAAAATGTCATAGACAGCTTCTCCCAGTGTCAGTTCAAAAGACTGTGTCCTCTGTAGTTTATCGGGCTAAAATGCCTCATCCAGGCACAATGGGGTTGCTCACTCTGAGGTACCATCAAAAAAAGTCTCTCTCTTTGCCCTCTTTCCACTTCTTTTCTCCCAACTACTGACATTATATAACATTCCTAACCATGCAAGTTTCATAATTGTCCACAGAATATATGGTGAGGGACAGAGCTGTGGCAGTCTTTTAAGAGTCAGTTGGCAAAGCCTCTGATTGAGAACAAATGTCAGCTGCAGCAGGGCCCAGCCACCATCATCTTTCAATAATTTCACTAGGGTTTAGCACTGAATCAAGAAAAGGTCATTGTTTACCATACATACTGAATCTTTTCTTTTTGTTTGGTTTGCAGGTGAACCAGGCTCCAGAGGGCTGCCTGGGCCTGCAGGTGAACCAGGTGCCAAAGGATCAGCAGGTGAGTGAACTATGCTGTTGTGATATTTCTAGAAGGTGACTCCAGCACTCATTTTGAGTCTTGTGTTCCAAGACCCATAAAACTTAAGACTCCTGGACTGTAAGACTTGGAATGAAAGAAAATATAATGAAGGGAAACACAATAGCTCTCAAACCCAAATAGCAAGGAAGAATACATATATAGAGAAGAGGTGGCTCATAGATTCAGTCAGGAAAATGCTTCACATCAAATGTTGATAGCAACATTCTCTCTCTCTGATCATGGATTACCTGTGAAACAGGGGTCAATGTAGAGTGTTCCTCACAATTTGTGGACATGTGGTGTGATTTCAGGGCTGGTTTTACTCATAAACAGAGTGAAACAGCTTCTTCAGAAAGAAGATTTGGGGTATCATAAAAAGTCAGGAAAGGGTTTTGTAATTAATTGATTATGAATGCATTTTCACTGCCAAGGGACGGAAAGAATTATGTGGGGGATTTTGTGTCTCAGGTGCCAAAATCTATACCAAAGCTTTGAGGGGAGGGATACCATTGCCAAGGGGACGGAAAGAATTACATGGGGGATTTTGTGTCTCAGGTGCCAAAATCTATACCAAAGCTTTGAGGGGAGGGATACCATTTGCTTCTCTAGGTGAACAAAATGTTTGGGGCCAATCCTCTGTTACCTATGTATCTGCATGTTTTGAGTTATGTGTGAATGCCTACTTGTGTACTTTAGCAAAGAGTGGTAAGTGTTTTGCATTATATCACAAGTTTCTTTATATTCTGTAACAGTGTTTTTCTCTTTTAAACACATACTGATGTTCAGCCAAAATCTGTGTGCATGTGCACAGTTTAGACATTAAAAAGTTCACTATTTTTTTTAATAACTGTGTTCTTCTCTATGGCTTTTGCAATTTCTGTTTTAACTAATGGCCTTTTATATTTGCACAGGTCCACCTGGCCCAGATGGACACCAAGGCCCCAGAGGTACTTTCTTTCCATGGCGTACATAATTAATTAATTAATTAATTAATTAATTGATGGATGGATGGATGGATGGATGGATGGATGGATGGATGGATGGATGGATGGATGGATGGATGGATGGAACACCAGAATAGATTTGGACATGAATGTACAATAAACAGATACCTGTTACATGGCTCCTCCACATGATCTCTGCATGTCAATTTTCATACTATTCAGGAAAATAAGGTAATAGATCAGAGCTGGGTAGAGACAGTCTATATGGTAATTACAGTATGAAAGAGATACAGATTATGCTAAGCGGTGTATCTGAGATATAGCTCTAGCATAATTTTCATGATTGTTATGCATTTTACATTGTACTCTTACAGCTTGGTTTCTACGAAATTTTATAGTCCTTCACCTGGTGTAATTTGAATATAGGATTGGTTTTTTAATTGCTGTTGTGCGTTTGAAATCTTCCATACTAATCTCACTTCTTAATTCTTACTTACAGTACAGTTCCATTGATTGGGATGGTTCTGGATTTATTAATGATAACCATCACTCTACTAATGATAGTCCATATGTGTTTATTACTTTATAGGAGAGCAAGGTCTTATGGGAATACCAGGCCCACGAGGCCCACCTGGACTTTCAGGAGATGCAGGACAGCCAGGTATTACAAAATGAACCAATACACCTATTGTTTAAGGGAATTATATCTTTCTAGAAAAGGCTCCTGTTTCCATCATGAGATTTCCCCTTTACTACTGAAATTTTGTAGACTACATCTGAGAAAACCCCCACTAGTTGGACAGATGAGATACCAACTCTTAGTTAGAAACTGATGAAATTATTTTTAGACTACAGTTCCCAGAATTCCCCATCTATCATGGCCACTCATGAGCACCACAGTTATCAGCTAAAAATGTTTTTACTCTGTCAGCCAGTGGCTTGTTGACTGAAAGTAAAATTCATGGTAATATGTACAGTAATAAAGTGTTGCCCTGTCTGGTTGCAGAAGACAATTCCTAACCAACTCACATATTTTTCATTCTTTCCTCCAGGTCTCACAGGACCACAAGGACCACCAGGTAATCCATGGGCAGGAGGACTAAAAATGTTTAAGAAACAAAACAGACACTTAAATGCTGAGTTTGGCTGGAACAATAATAGCAATTCATTTTGTGCCTTGCTAAGAGGATGCAGGTTACTAGGTCCTAAGCACAGTAGGTGTAGTCACATTTCAGCTGGCATCAGAGTATAGGCAAGGTAGATAAGAAACTTCAAACTTCTTATGTGCCATCAAGTCACCTCCAGTTTATGGAGATCCTATGACTGAGCAATCTCCAAAATGTCCTCTCCTGAACAGCTCTTCTCAGCTCTTGCAGACTCAAGTCTTGACTTTCAGAAGTCAATCCATCTCATATTTGGTCTTCCTGTTTTCCTGCTGTCTTCCGTTTTTCCTAGCATTATTGTCTTTCCAGATAAACTTCCCTTCTCGTGATGTGCCCAAAGTATGCATGCAAAGATTCAAAATAATGCTGTCCAAACTCCTGTCTATTCTGTGGTTAATTTTCCTATCAGTGAGAACATGCATGTTATTGGTAATATAAATAGAACACAATATAATGGATATTTTTGCTGTACATCCTATAGTTGTAAGGGACGGGGGAGGGGGGACAAAGGAACTGTATGCCTTATATCCAAGCCTATGAAGGTTTACTCAGAAATTAAGTCCCAGTGAACTTATTTTTCAGTGAACATGCTTACATTTGCAAAGACTAGGAAGTGCTTACTGATAACTGAACAATAGAGACTTGCCATGTATTGAGTGTAATCTCATGATGACATGGTCACAGATACCATCTTCTGCCTAGGAAAATACAGAAAAGTGATGAGTTTGGTCACTGCATATTTAGCATACAGTATTAGTAAAAGATAAGCTAGTGTGTCTCTATGCCAAATGATGCACACAAAGTTGAATTGAAATCCTTGAGCTTCTGCACATTGTGTTCCTCATGTTGGAGGACTGATGAGAGTGGTAGGTACAAACTGAAAGGAGGGAACTGCAGTCAGGACTAGAAACAGGAACATTTAAGAAATACAGGTTGCTTTTTTGTTGCCGTGGAAGTTATGGAGGAGGCATAGGGTATAGTCTGTAAGAGGTGCGTTGTTTCCAGAGAGAGGCTGTACTCGGAACATGAGCTTTGTGTCCATAGCTCATGCGTATGACCACAGTTCCTAGAACCTACAGGTAGGGCTAGGAAAATCCCAGCAGAAGTTCTGCAATACTATTGCCATTCTGTGTTGACAGTATTGGGCTAGGTAAATATCCTGCACTTATCCAATGGCCTGTCTCAGTACCAAATGTATCTTTACTATTCTTACAGTGTTTTCCCAGCAATATGATCTGTTTTGTTATTTATGGTTCCAGAATTAGATATGTAAAAGAACTTGTAGCTTACATTCTAAAGATGATACACACACTTCTCCTTTTAACATGGTTTCACAATTACACCTTTTTTGGAACTTGAGGAAGCACTCCATATAGAAACAGATTTTTTGGAACCTGTAGTTTGCTTCTACGTGTACAGCAGCTTCCTATGTAATGAAAGATGTCTGGATATATGATCGTATCTGATTCCATTTAATAAAACTGTGACACACAAGTTCATGCTATGATTATTAGTATTCGTTTTGAATTGTCATTTTAACTCTGTCCAGGACTCCCAGGCAATCCAGGACGACCAGGACCAAAAGGTGAGTCTGGATACTTATTAGATTTTTATGGGCAAGTGTGCAATAGCAATGGGGAGAAGTAATACATGCCCCCTACACAAACATGCAAACACACTGCACAGAGGGCTTGCAGAGTGAGCTGGGCTTTTGTGTGAGTTTCTATTCGAGCAGATGCTTCGTCTGTGTCAATTTTTCTGGTCATTTGCCTCTGTGTGTGTGTGTGTGTGTGTGTCTTCTATTCGAGCAGATGCTTCATCTGTGTCTATTTCTCTGGTCAGTTGCCTTTGCAGCACACTGGTGTGCCTTCTCCCTCATCAGCCCTGGCTGCCAATTCCATGGCTCCCTCTCCTTCTCCATTCCCTGTGTGTGTGTGTATCTTTTTCACAAGCCTAGAAGCTATAGATCCTCTCTGTTTCTCTGGTCAGTTTCTCTTTGCCACTCTTGTGTTGTGTCTGTCAGTAAGTCTCTCTGTCTGTGTGTGTTGGGCTGCAGGAAAGCCTCATGTAATTTTTTCTATCTATCATGTTGAACTAGCATTATGCCAGATTGTACAAAATAAAAATAAGACCAGAGCATCAATGGCTATGGCTGTGAGAGGTAGCCAGAGTGAGGGTGGGCAAGTGAAGGATAAAGTCACAAATGCAATCATTGTGTGCTTTCCCTCTCACCAGCCTCAGTTGCTGGTTTGGTGGCACCTGCTCCTTCTTTAACCTCTCTCCTCTCTCCTCTCTCTCTCTCCTCTGTGTGTGTGTGTTTGTGTGTGTCTGTCTGTCTGTCTGTCTGTCTCTCTGTCTGTGTTGTGTCTGTCAGCAAGTCTCTCTGTCTGTGTGTGTTGGGCTGCAGGAAAGCCTCATGTAATTTTTTCTATCTATCATGTTGAACTAGCATTATGCCAGATTGTACAAAATAAAAATAAGACCAGAGCATCAATGGCTATGGCTGTGAGAGGTAGCCAGAGTGAGGGTGGGCAAGTGAAGGATAAAGTCACAAATGCAATCATTCAATAAGCCTATTGACCAATATACAGCATAGTTTTTTAACGGATTAAAAGTTTTCGCAAGAAGCCTCGTGGCGCAGTGGTTAAAACGCTGTATTGCATGTGTCTGTCAGCAAGTCTCTCTGTCTGTGTGTGTTGGGCTGCAGGAAAGCCTCATGTAATTTTTTCTATCTATCATGTTGAACTAGCATTATGCCAGATTGTACAAAATAAAAATAAGACCAGAGCATCAATGGCTATGGCTGTGAGAGGTAGCCAGAGTGAGGGTTGGCAAGTGAAGGATAAAGTTTCAAATGCAATCGTTCAATAAGCCTATTCACCAATATACAGCATAGTTTTTTAAAGGATTAAAAGTTTTCACAAGAGGACACATATACCCTGATCCAAAATCACATGGCTACCACATGATTTTAAAGTGACGTCAAAAAAGCAAAGCAATAGTGTGCTGCTTATATACCGCCCCATAGTGCTTCAAGCATTCTCTGGGCAGTTTACAAGTTAATTATGCAGGCTACACATTTCCCCCACCCCACCCCCAGCGAGCTGGGTACTCATTTTACCGACCTTGGAAGGATAGAAGGCTGAGTCAACCTTGAGCCGGCTACCTGGGATTGAACCCCAGGTCGTGAGCACAGTTTTGGCTGCAGTACAGTGATTTAACCACTGCGCCACGAGTTCCAGATTCATTTTTGTGATGTAATCACACCCTCAGACACATGAGCAATATGAAGGACTAGTAAGAGTGATCCTTCAAAGCCCTTCTTTTCAAAATACATTGGATTCTGAGAATTCTATCTCAATCACCCTGTTAATAGTTTTTTATTTGTCATATTTTTACCTACTGCTTATCCAAAGTCAGAGCTCCCACAGTCTATGTTCCATCAGTTTACAATCTGGAGCATATTATACAAAAGGGGAAAAGATTGAGAGGAAGGAGAGGACAAAAATGCTCTAGCAATAGATTATTGGCTACAGAGTTCAGTAAATAGTAACGTTCCACAGGCTATACAGCTGTGATAAGAATAGTCATCCTTTTGGCAAAGAATCGAACAGCCTAAAGATCCAATGACATCGCAAACACTGCCCACAATGCAACAGTCTGTTAACTGAAGACCTATCAACCTCTTTTTCTATAGGTGAACCTGGAGCACCAGGCCGGGTTACTACTTCAGGTAGGTATTGTAGAAATAGAAGAAATCTTGCACCCAAGATCATTCTTAACACCATGTTGCACCTTGTCGTGACTTAATTTATTATTTTTTTCTCCCTTTGTGCTTCAGATGGTGGATCAGCCGTTGCTCTTCCTGGACCTCCTGGACCCCCAGGAGCAATAGGACCTGCAGGCCCACCTGGTGTCCCAGGTGGGAGCCTCCTTTTATTATTTAATATTTTTTTACTTGCTGTATCAGTGATATTTTTCAGGGATTGACTGATTGTGGTGAAGTGTTTTAAGTTATTGACCTGGCTTCTGCTCTTAAGCTGCTACCCAGCATTTATTTTCTTACTGTTGGAGCATACGACAGATAAGTGATGGTACACCAATAGTCCATGTAAAAAAAGATCCTTGGACTTTGGCCCAAATTATATATTATAGATAGTTCACTGTATATTACAGATAGTAGCAGAAACCCATTTTGTGTTTTAGAGGACCAATTCAGGCACATCGTGACTGAGCAATCTTACTTGTAAACTAAAGCCTGTGATTTTCTCCCGATGACCAATCACAAAACAGTGTAAGCTAATTTGCAAACTATGGAAAGCATGACAAATTCCTGCTGAAAAAAAATTAAATGTTCTCAGCATTTAAGGAATTTTTCTCCTAATGATGTCTAATAACATACAGTTTGTCCAATATTCAATGACTGGTTGTTTAAACGAAGGCATCTAATCTGTTCCTTTCTAGAGATGATTTTCAAAGGGTAGATAAGTTCACCCTTTCTTTCTAAATCAAACTTATGTATTGTTGACTTTGGTTCCCTCTGTTCTCTTTATGAATTGGAAGAGAATATGTACAAGCTGAGGTGTTCCAGAAGCCAGGGGTATTTTAGTAGAAGTATGAAGAAGAAAAAGAAATGTCAGAAAGTACAAATCCTTTGTTCACAGCCTACCTGACCTGAGTATTGTATTGCTTGCCAATACCTACCAAAATCTCTGAAATATCATTCATCCTACATATTATTTGATGTTTTCAGTTCTTCCTCTTGAATGTGGAAAGCAGTTGCTTTGTCTGTTAAGAAAGGTGACCCAATTTTGTTTTATCCAGGTCCCATTGGCCCAGCTGGTCTTCCTGGAGCACAAGGTAATATATTCAGTGCAACCCTGGTGTTTGTTTTATTTCCTTTACTTCTTTGCTCAATAATTCTGTTCAGTCATTCAGTCTCCTGGTAGGCTAAATGCATGAAGAAGGAGAGTGAACTAGCCTTGCCTCGCCTCTTTGATGTGAAGAGACAGAAGTGCGGAGACGTGTCAATCCATGGAGGTTCTCCATGCAAACCAGAATCTTGGTTTCCCCATGACCTGGCTTACATAAAGAGTCCACCCAAATGCTGAAGAGCTAAATAGGGCTGCTCTATATCTAATATTCTGAGGTCAAGACTGGGCTAGCTTCTGCCAGCACTGAGTGAGAACACTGAAGGGATGAGAATACTGTATGTGCTATCTCTGATCCCCTACCAGAGATAGCACAGTTGGAACAAGAAGAGACAGTGAAGAAAGAAAGGCATTTGAAAGGGGTGGAAACTTATGGGGAACCTCCTCAGAATATATGGGGATGTCCAGGGGTTAGATTAGGCCTGTGGGCCTATGGCATCCCTTCTTTGCTCTATCATATCCCCTTGTGTTGCTTTGTTCTCTGTGCTCTGTGCCAGGTCCTTCAATCCCTTTGTTCCCAACTTGATGATTTGGCCTCGCCGGGATTCTGCCTGACTTGGTTAGCGCTCCTGTCAATGCCCTGTTGGATGGCTGGTATTCCGCCATCACCAGGGCGGTCAACATGATCACACCATAAACGCCCTCTCCACTGCCAAGCCCGACCAGCTCCCTGGTTTAACCAGCAGCTGAAGGCCATGAAGCATAAGTGGAGAAGACTAGAGAGCATCTGGAGAAGGGCCCTCATAGAAACGAATTTCAAAATGGCCAGGATCGCATCTAAACTTTACCTAGCTAGGGTAAAGGTTGCTAGAAGAGCATTCTTCACTAACCTGATAAGCGAAGCTCACAACCAGCAGGCAGAACTTTTCCATATAGTACACGATCTATCCAGAGCTGGCCACAGTGATAGGCCTCCCTCTAGTATCTCCTGTGACCAATTTGTGGCCTTTTCAAAATCTAAATTGGAGGCCATCAGATGGGACCTTGATCTCTTTTTACAGACAGTAGATTAAGCTGAGATGTACAGTGCATTGTCTTCCTTCATGTCTCAGCAACATCTGCAGTGTGTTGTTTAGAAGAGTGGTCCCCAACCTTGGGCCTCCATATGTTCTTGGACTTCAACATCCAGAAATCCTGGCCAGCAGAGGTGGTGGTAAAGGCTTCTGGGAGTTGTAGTCCAAGAACATCTGGAGGCCCAAGGTTGGGGACCACTGCTTTAGAATACAAAAGGACTCTCTGAAGCCTTCTCTTGGCCTACCCAGGGAATTTTACCTTGCCCTCTCTCCCCAATTTGTGAACACTTTTCTTTCATATAGTTGAGCTGCTGAGCTGCTGACAGTTTTACTGATTCTGTCAAAATATTTTTTATGTTACTCTTTTCCTGTTGCCCTCCCTAATGTTCATAGGGTGATTAGTGAGTCTGCCAGAAACAAAATCAGCCACAACTTTATTGGTCACAGCTGGTCTACTCCTGGCCCAGCACAGGAAATGGATTCAAAGATCAGCTGACATCCCCCATTAAGATCTCTAGTGGTACCAGAAGAAAAATTCCATAAGGTGCACAATGTAGAACCATGGACTCATCAAACTAAAGAGAAAGGAAGGGGATAGGTGACAATCAGGCTGCATTCACTGTACTTACTTATTCTCTCAATTAGAGGTAAAACCTCTCTCAACAGGTCTGCTAGGGACTTCCCACACTTGGGGTGGTTATGCTTGTCCCCCAGCAGGGAGAGGGACAAGAGCCCCATACTTATTGCAGAGACCCCCATATGAATAGCCACACACTGATAAGATGGCAGCATCCTCCATTATACCTCCCCATGCTCCCAGTTGCAGCTTAGTCTAAGATAAATTCTGGATCCATGCCTCACATTAGGTGCAAGTCAGAACACTTCAAATTTTCAGGCAGGACTTCTACTATTAAGAGTCTCCAATCATAATATTTTAGATGATGTGCTGTTTTTTTCTTGTTTATGGCAAACCTGTGTTAATGATTTCAATTGTATTTCAACATACTGAATTCTACTTTAATGTTTTTAATTTGTTGTATTTTAATTTTCTGTTCTTTTTTAACTGTATTGTAAGCCACTTGGAAACCCAGTTCTGGGAGAAAGGCAGCATATAAATGAATAATAAGTACAAATTTTGACCAGAATATTGGATTTGTGTCATGTGTATTAAATAATCAACCATCTTGGTTCTTTTTAAGGAGAAAAGTAGGATAAAAATATTTTCAATAAATAATAATATTTCCCTTTTTAAATCCTGATATAGGTCCTCGTGGTGAGAGAGGGCCCCCAGGTGAATCCATCATTGTGGAAACCAGTAGACAAGATGTTGCTTCTCTTGGAGGTAGAGTGATATTACTCTTGTAGGGTTATATTTTCAAAGCCAACTCTAATACTACTTACAGTTTGAGAAAAATAATAGTCAGAATCTTATTGGTTAGTTGTTCCAGCATAAGTGCAATGGTATAAACTGCTGTGGTGAATCACCATCAGCTAAGTCGGCCCTTATATCCCTCATCACGTGCCAGTTGGTGCACAACTCATTCACTATTGGCTGTTCATTTCTGCAGATTGCATTAATGTCCTTAACACTAGTACTGTATAGCTAACTGACAGGATTCTGGTTATTGTCTTCAGAATTTAAAATGTGACTCCAGGAATGCCATAATGGTTGAGAATTGGACTTTCTCCACCCTTCTCCTTATGAGCATCACTTAGAACAAAACTGACCTCTGTCTCATCCCCAATAGAACACCTTGGAAAAATCTTAAGGTGAAGGTTATCCACACTTTTCCTACTAGCTTTCAATTTCTGAGATAGATTTGATTGGGAGGGAAAAGTTACATCAAACTTGTAGGACCAGATTTACCTCTTGTACATTTTGGAAGGTAAAACATTGCTTTATTTCATTTATCTAGTTTTATGCAAAATCAAGTCAAACTGAATAATTACATATAAGTATAAAATAAGAAGCTGGCTGGATAGCTTGGTAAGTTAGATATCTGGCAGTGGAACCAGAGGCTGGGAGTTTGATTCCTCACCGTGCCTCCCTGTAGAATAGCCAGCGTCTCAAAATAAGAGGGTGTCAATCCACTTCTGAGTACTCTGTCCCTAGAAAACCCTGAAAAGGTTTGCCATAAGTCAGAATTGACTTCAGCATGTAATTAATTATAACAAGATGAGATGCTTTCATCTGGAGTCACTGGTTTGGTTTGGACCTTAAACTAATTCATACATTGCTTTACTTGTGGACAGAATTTCCTTCTTAGCCCATTGCTTTACAGAGCATAATTTTATTTATTCATTTAATTTCTCATTTGGCTCAGGATAATTTTTTCTCACATACTTATATGAAAAAGAAAAGAAAAGAAAAAGTGAAATTTCAGAAATCCATATGGTATCATAAAGTACCAAATAATAACAGATTCAATCCTTCCAGTCTAAATTAAGTTTTTTTCCAAAAGTGGCCTCAGTGCCTCATCTTGAAGGAGCCATTCCCACTCTTGAAGAGCAATGTATACCCCTCTGGAACCAGCAGGTCTTCCTTTCTCTGCAGGTGCAATAAGTTATAGAGAGCAAGGACTGGGCAAATAGGTAACTGGTTGAACCTGGTCAAGTAGCTTGTCAGCTTCTTTTAGCCATGAAGCTGAGTCATCCAGCAATATCTGGTTGAGTGTACCTTGCATGCCCAGTGGTGCAGTGGTAAAATTGGAAGTACAGATGCTCATTGTGATTATTGCCTTCAGATGTCTTGCAAACATGTCACCGTTCAGAATTCAGAAGACCATGAATCATTCCAGAAAGTTCTCCTAAATGACACTAAGAGGACTCAGTGATGCTGAAGAAAAGTTGTTCATTTGCTTCCATCACTGCCAATGAGTAAGAGCTCAAATTAGCTCTTATCTTTGCTCATTGGGATTTAATATGCATTTTCTCCCACTTTCATTTGGTTCATTTCCTAATTCGCTTCAGCACTCGCAGCTCAGATATAAACTAAGAAAGAATTGGCTCTGCAAAGTGGGAGACGTCTCCTAGAGCTATAGTATGCACTTGCTAGTTTAATTCTGAGCTGTGGCCAGATGGGACTTTAAGGAATCACATCAACTAGTAAAGTGGTTCCTTAAAGCTGACATTATCTCATGAAGTTTGACCCTCTGCCTGAGCTGGAAATGATGTGATACTTAAAATTTAAGCCTGCCAGAAATTACTTGTTCTTCTTCTTTGACTTCTCCATCACCTACTTGATTCTAAGAAAACATGTGCTTGTTCAGCTTCTGACCCACTTTCACCCTTCAACCTCAACCTCTGCCCCAAAGTTCATCCTTCAATCATCTTCATGAGGTGACACTCAAAACATTTTGTTGGGAGTGCTGATGCAATGTACAAGGAGGACGAGAATCAGTTCTAAACAATTATTTATATCTACTGTATCAGTGCAGCCATTTTCATTTGATTTGCAAATGATTTAAGCATTTCTTTTGAAAGCTGCCTTTTTTCCGAAAATAACCTATTTTTTTCCTAAGCTTTTTAAATGTTCAGTTTCTATCTTGATAATATGGTTAGGCAACAGTTGTTGCCGGTAGATTTTAAACAAATATTTCTGTTTACCATTTTTGTTTAGCAAGCATGGGTGGACTCCCAGGACCTCCGGGACCCCCAGGACCTCCAGGACTACCAGGTAGCTATGTAGTAACTTTAATATACTAACTTATGGGGAGTAATTCTCTTTATATGATTTAAGACCTTCTTCTTCACTAAACACGGAATGTACTGTTTCTTCCCTTTGTTAGTGTATACAACCACATAAACCTTTTCAAACTGAGAGGTAATAAGGAGGAATAACGAATTTTTTAAAAAACCAGAAATGATGATGACAGATTTCAACTAATGCTGAGCATAATGACACTAATTATCACTCTGAAATCTAGCTATGGGGATTGCAATTAACCTTAAAAGTAAGTGCCATCCTCAGGAATGTCTCAGGGATCTTCTGATGCTGGAGAAAATTAGTGTAACCTTAAAACAGGATTCTGGCTTATGTTTTGTTCTCCTGCATTAAATCTACAAAGACTGTGTCACTACCTCTAGCCATGCATCAATCCAGATGTCATTTCAGCTGTTTGAAGGTTCTCCTAAATTATTTTCACTGATTCCTAAGCATAACCTTGTATCCAGGGTGAATTCAAGGGAGAGTATAGAGGGCTGTGTTAAGATTGCAAAGAAGAATATTTGATGAAATATCAATATGTATTCTCTGCTATGCATTAAAACTGGCAGTGCATGGTATATGTTTTAAAGAATGTCACAGATTAAGGAAATAACACAAATACGAAGAAATTAACTTCAGTCTGAAATCAAATTACTGGAATTCAAACATTAAGATGGTTGGTCAGCTATCATCTATGAGTTTTATCTAGAGAGCAAATTTGAACTATAGACTCTGGAAATTAATAAAATGCCTGGTAACTTTCAGTACCTCTCCCAACATTTTTATGAATTTGGAAACAAGAATTTGAAAAGTAAGCAGATTCTATCCAAAAAAAGAGCAAAATATTCAGCATTTTTAAGAAAATGGGCAAAATAATGAAAATTTCAAAATTAATCAACAAAAATTTTCAAATCAGTATATTCTTCATCAAATCTCAATGACTAATTAGATCTTAGATAAAACCAATTTTGAGAAATTCTCTCAGGGGCACAGATACTTTTAAAATGAACTTCATATAAAGAAATTCCAATATGTAATAAACACCTTGTGAAGGTACAGATAATTGAATTTTTTACAATACATTTGACAAGAAATAATTTTGATTTTAATATATCTTTTGCATTAGATTATAAAAGCTGGCTTGATTTGGGGGATCTAGGGTAAAGATCCTCTGGATGTAGACATAGTATCCTATGGATATAGATTGATGAGAGTGATCAATCAGGAAGTTACATTTACTGGAATTGGCCAAATATTATACTAACAATGATCAAGATAGTATAGTATAGTATAGTATAGTATAGGATAGGATAGGATAGGATAGGATAGGATAGGATAGGATAGGATAGGATAGTAGTCTTTGACATGCCAGAGGATTTTGATAGCCTCAGGTGAAATTACTTATGGAACACACACAAGAGGCTAAGATAAAGTGTAGTGGCTGCTCTTGTCAGTGGGTCCCCTTATTTTTATATTTTCATTTTTATTTGAAGGGTGGCCTACAAATAAAACAAACAAACAAATTTAATGGTTGTTCTGGGTTTTTTGGGCTCTTTGGCCGTGTTCTGAAGGTTGTTCTTCCTAACGTTTCACCAGTCTATGTGGCCGGCATCTTCAGAGGAAGCAACCTGTGCTCTGGTGTAGTTGGCTTGGGAGTGCAGTATTTATGGCTTTTGTCTTTTTCTGTAGATGGGTGACTAGTGTGTATTGTTGTGGGTGTATTGTTGTGCTAAGGATGGGTGTCATTAGCTGGTCTTTTGTGTAGTGATCACCTGTCCTTGTGGCTGGGTAGAGTCCATTGACCTTTTGCACATTGTATTTTTGAGAGCTGGGAGCCAAGTTTTGTTGAACTTCATACTTTCCTCTCTTTTGTTGAAACTGTGCTGGTGCTTGTGGATTTCAATGGCTTCCCTGTGCAATCTGATGTAATGATTGCTGGTGTTGTCCAGTATTTCAGTATTTTGAAATAGAATGTCATATCCAGTTTGTTTCAGGGCATGTTCAGCTACTGCAGATTTTTCTGGTTGTTTTAGTCTGGAGTGTCTCTCATGTTCTTTGATTCTGGTGTGGATGCTTTGTTTTGTGGTTCCAATATATACCTGGCCACAACTGCAAGGTATCCGGTATACTCCTGTGGTGGTGAGGGGGTCCCTTCTGTCCTTTGCTGACCGTAACATTTGTTGTATTTTTGTGGTGGGCTTCAATACTGTTTGTAGGTTGTGTTTTTTCAAAAGTTTCCCCATGCGGTCCGTAACCCCTTTGATGTATGGCAGAAATACTTTATTTGTGGGTGGCTGTTTTTCTTCTTCAGTTCGATGTTGTTTTCTTGATTTGATGGCTCTTGTGATTTCATTTTTGGAGTAGCCATTTGCCTGTAGGGCCCAATTCAGATGGTTGAGTTTAGTGCTGAGAAACTGAGCTTCACAGTTCCGATTTGCACGGTCTACCAGTGTTTTAATTATGCCTCTTTTTTGCTGTGGGTGGTGGTTGGAGTTTTTGTGTAGGTACCAGTCTGTGTGGGTGGGTTTTCTGTAGACCTTGTGTCCCAGTCGGAGGTCAGTTTTGCATAGGACCATGACATCTAAGAACGGGAGCTGGCCCTCTATTTCTTTTTCCATGGTGAATTGTATATTTGGGTGGATCACCTCTTCTGAATGACAGTTTTTCAAGTATTTGAAAAATGCTATCATATCTCCCCTGAGTCTTATTTTCTCAAAATACATGCCCAGTTCTTTTGTAATTAATTAATTAAGTTTTCTCTCCCTCCCTCCACTATCCATTGTTTTTAAAAGTAATAAAATATGGTCAGCACCAAATCTGAACAAGATGCAACAAATCTGAACATTTAAAGCCTTTAAATATTGGGAAAGGCACCAAGCAGGGCTGCCCAACGTCTTCCACCTTGTTGATCTGTATCAATGGATCTCTCTCTCTCTCTCTCTCTCTCTCTCTCTCTCTGTCTCTCTCTCTGTGCAGTCTGAGTATCCCCAGACCACGTATTCTTATTTTTATGCCAGAATTCATAACCATACTTCCCCCCCCTCCAATTTTCCAGGTGCTTCTGTTGAAGGCCCACGAGGACCTCGTGGTCCACCAGGTAAGAGACTTTTGTGTAGTTTTAAGAGTGTGTTTCTTTGTGACTTGCCTAGACTGCCCTATTATTTGGGGGGGGGGAAATTACCTTAATTCACAGAATTCATTTACCAGCCATCACTGTAGTAGAGTGAAAATACAAATTGATCACCCTGTGTAATATACAGACTTGATTTGATTTTACTTTGTAACTGACAGGTTCAAGAACCAGATGTCAGAATAAGTAAAAGAGGGCAAAGCATTCTGTTCTTTCTATTCATAATATGAGGAACATAACAAATAGTTCTATAAGGAACAGTCTGCCTATGGTGATGAATTCTTTTTGTAATTTAATCAAAATGAACCTCTTCCCTAGGAGAATACAAGGTCTGTGAGTACAAGGTCTGCAGCGACAATGCTGATTAATAGAGCTGGAAGGCATCTAGACCTAAGATCAGTTAATCCCAGCTAAAGTAGACCAATTCGATCAATGGAACTTAAATTATGTATTGACTTTTGAAGTCACTGTTGATTCAGTGGGTCTGCTTTGGGATTAGCAGCTGGACTTAGTCTCCAATGCCCTTCCTGGCCATCTATCTGCCAGCATACGTATCCCACAACCCATTCAATCACAGTGTACTGTAGTCACAGAGCAAGGACTCATGAACTGAAGTAGACCAATAATGTGAAAACTGAGGGAACAGATCCTGTAACCTAGCTCTACCTATGTGCATTCCTATGAAGGCATTTTCTTGGGTGTTTCTTCATACAGTCGTATGTATATTAAGCATGCTCTTGTTTCTATTGCTTAGGAGAAAGCGTGCAAGGCCCTCCAGGCCCACCAGGCCCACCAGGGAGACCAGGCTCCTTTGTTCCAACATCTGGTAAGTGCTTTCATTTGATTTATAATTCCATGTTCAGATTTTGTATCCAAGCTTCAAATGGAGGGAGATATTTCATAAGGTGAATGCTTTGGCAAAACAACATGCCGATGTTATGTTACATAAAGCCCATGATTCTACCCATGTTTGTATGAACATCTCTGATACTTTTTTTCTCCTCCTTCTCCTCCAATACAGAAACTTTCTTTGCTGGTCCGCCTGGCCCTCCTGGTCCTCCAGGTCCAAAGGGAGATCAAGGTGAGTTATTTGAAATCCTGTCATGCGGATTGCTGATACCATGTAGTGTGTAGCAGACCTGATCAATAGCTTGGCAGATGAGGGAGAGTGAAAGAGGAGGATGTAGATGAAATAAAGATGTAAAAAAAACATATACATCATCATCCATGATTAAGAGTGTGGCTCCACAGCAGAAAAAATGTGAATGGATCTGCTGTGAAGTTGCACCTGGGAAGTCAGGTTTACTGTATCTGGGTGAATTCACTTCAGCCAACCACACAGGCATCTAGAGACTGGGAAGGAAATCATCTTTGTTTGCAGCTTGTTTGCAGCTTGAATCCTCTCCTCCTCATATCTTCTGGATCTGCTTGTTTCCTTCCTTCCTCCCTTCCTTTTGTTGGCTAGCTGCCCCAGTGCTAGATTATTGAGCCTTTACAGAAGTAAGAAAGGAAGGAAGGAAGAGAATAGAAAGTAAAGATGAAAACAAACCCAAGACCACATTTGGGGAGGAGAGGATTCAAATGACAGCTGCTTTCCCCACTGCCCTTCCACTCTCGTCACTGATGGAGCTGGCTGGAAAGGTTTCAGATACAGCAGCTGCAAAAACCTTCTATATAGGCTTAAGCGATTGCACCATCTGAATTGATGCAAAGGCATTCAATTCCACAACAGGAAAGGGCCCAGTGACAGAGGAAAAAGCGATGGATTGGGGAGGGGAAAGTCTGGTCTAATCCACAGTGGCTTTTATGTAATGGTCAACAGAAGAAGAAAAAAGACAGAGATCGGACCTATTCCAATCCAGAAACATTTCCCACATTGTAATGTCAATATAGCCACACCCTAAATGAATGTAATCTTGCATATCTCTGAAGGCATTAAAATATCTAAGTTACTTTTTGTTGTTATTCAAGTAGTGACACAGCAGGAAACAAACAGAAGCAGCAAAGCTTGAATGCTAAATTTTAACTAGGGCTGAGCTAATACAGTGTTTTTCAGTCATTATTCTGTTAATCTGCAGTAGTTTCCAGAATGACTTCTTACAGGGCTGCACTTGAGGAGCTTATACAACTTTTTCTGCTGGAGAGAAAACTTTCCTCCTTTCTTCAGAAGCAGTTATAATCTCTATCAGCAGCATGAGGCAGACTCACAACACAGACAAGAGTCTCTGCTTGTTTGACAGAAACAGATTCTAATACAGATGCAGCATTGCAGGAAGACTTCCGAATATGCATAATGCAAGGTTAATGCATAGTATTGAGTCAGGATGTGTGGTAAAATATAAACAAGGCGTTTTCTGTACTCAAACCATTTTACAGTTTACCATTGACCACAAAGAAAAAAAATAACATTGTTGACATTGCACAAAGTTAGGAAAAGCTAGCTTTTGGGATTTTGACTTCCAGAATCTATTCAATATGCTGACCGGGGGATTCTGGAAGTTGCAGCTTATCCAGCACATCTACCAGTAAAGGTGCTGTTTTTAGCCTGTTCCTCTAGCCAGAGGGGGGAGCACCCAAGGTGTTCCTGTTCTCCATCCTCACAGATACTACAGATCTAATTGCTTTTCTTTTCTTCAGGTCTACCTGGTCCACGAGGATTCACAGGTAACAATAATGATTCTTTCCCCACACTATGGGAATCAGGAGCATTTGATGTATTGAAGTAAATTAAATCATATGACTTGTCATGTTTCCTACAGGTGAACCAGGTCAGCCAGGTCTTCCAGGAATTTCTGCAGGTAAGTCTACATGCATTCCTTTCCTTCCTGGGTCTTTCCACGACTATCCATGCCTATTCAGAATGCCCTTTGATTTGAAAGGGGCTTATTATGAGGTGAAGTGTTACAGGCCTGTAACCCTATAAATGCAGTTTGTAAAGCTAGGTTGGTTAATGCCAGGACAATCTGGCCAATTCTGATTCTTGTAAAAGTGGGCTGTTATTGTATGGCATGTGTTTCAAATGTGTGTATGTTGTGTATGCAGTTTCCATCATTTGCTTTGTATACATCATCTTAGGTGGACTTAATAAAACAGTATTCATTTATAGTAATAGTACCCTCTGATTCATTTTCAGTTACCTCTCATTCTTTTGCTGTATCTACTAGCAGGTGCTGGCGTTGCTGTACAAGGACCACCTGGGCTTCCTGGCCCACCAGGACCCAAAGGAGACAAAGGTGTGTGAGCAAGAGCTGTTCTTTGCATGTCTTGATGGTGAGAAGCTATGTGTTTCTGTAATTCTGGGATCAAATCTGCCACATATGACCAAAATATGTTTCTCTTATTTCCTTTAGGTGATGCTGGTGTACCAGGAGCCCCTGGCATTCCTGGTGGAGGTAAGAGAATCCCACTGAAAGTGCATTAAAAATTGTACATTTGAATATGACTATAAACTGGGGAAGACAGTGTGTGGTCCTCCAGATGTTGTTTGACTGCCCCAGCTAGCATAGCCAAAGATAAGGGATGATGGGTGGCTGCAGCTGAACAACATTGGGAGGGGGACACATGTTGTGAGATACACTGGGGAAGACAGTGTGTGGCCCTCCAGATGTTGTTTGACTGCCCCAACTAGCATAGCCAAAGATAAGGGATGATGGGTGGCTGCAGCTGAACAACATTGGGAGGGGGACACATGTTGTGAGCCTCCTTCATTGGCAAACAAATTAAAAGCTTGGCATTTACTAGGTTGAAGCATATAAACACAGCTCTATACAATTCTTGTCAGGGAAGGCTGTCCGTTAAATTGAAACACACACACCCACAATTAGTCACTGTTAGTTATTGTTTACATGCTATATTTTCCAGAATTTGAATACAACAGCACAAAAGCTATAATAAATAACTGTTATGGTGTAACTGCCACTGGCAGTTCCATGGAAAAGAATCTCGCAAGAGGTTAAACAGGAAGAATTTCAAGTTGTTCAATTTGTTGGTGGATATTATTTGCACTGAGTGGCTGCAGACAGAAGAATACAAATACTCCAGAATATGCCGGTCAGAAGACTCTCCCACTCTAACTGTCAATACATTGTACTGAATTAAAAGGACTTTTGTCTTATCACATTTGCTCTGGTGGTAATCACATTCATTTTACTTGTACAGCTGGATCAAGAAGTGTTCAGGGCCCTCCTGGTCCTCCAGGCCCACCAGGCCCACCAGGGCAAGGAATGAGTTCAAGGCGAGAGATTGAACAGTATGTCTCGGAGTACCTTCAGAGTAAGTACACAGAAGTGCCTCTGTTGGCCTTGCTTTGCTTTCACAGGATTGTGCATTTTTCACCCTTTAAGCCATGGGTGGACAAAGTGCTGTCACTAAGCCCACTTCAAGTCCATGCCCAATACCTGATTTAAGTTTTTTTCAAAACCCAAAGTAAGTTCACTTTTGTTTTAGGGGAAAAAAGAGGAATTTGGGGGGGTGGTGGTCTAAAACAGTCATTTGGTGTGCAAAATGGCCAGAATGGCTGATTGTAGTCCTTACAGTTTCTGGGACTGCAATTGGGTGACCCTCCCCCAGTGCAGGTGGTTGGGCAGAGGAGCTGAAAATTCTGGGTATGACATGGATCAGCCCCCAATTTCCCCCAAAAGGTGTCCATCCTTGCTTGATAGGGTTCATATTTTAGAACAGTATCCCTCGCCCACTTAAAAGCCTCCCGGTCATGCAGTAAAGTCAGAGAATGACCCTGCTAAGAGCTTGGTTGCACAAGGGGGGGGGAACACACTGCTTTTGAATCAGGTTTAGCATGCTTGAAATCGATGTTTAAAATTCTGATCACATGACACACAAGGAAGAGCAGATTTATTTATTTATTTATTTTGGTCTGGGAAGCGTGGTTTTGGTTGAAAAATGAGGTATTTTACTCGGCTGCAATAAGGTTGTTTACGTTAAATCACTTGTGAATTCTATGTCAGGCTATATAAAATAAGCCAATAAAATGGAATCTGAATTTTACAGACATAAACATAGAGATCATGTACAAAGTGTCAGCAGGTGCAGATTTATTTATTTATTTATTTTGGTCTGGGAAGCGTGGTTTTGGTTGAAAAATGAGGTATTTTACTCGGCTGCAATAAGGTTGTTTACGTTAAATCACTTGTGAATTCTATGTCAGGCTATATAAAATAAGCCAATAAAATGGAATCTGAATTTTACAGACATAAACATAGAGATCATGTACAAAGTGTCAGCAGGTGTGCCTGGCAAGGTTAATGGAATCTTAAAGGTTAAGATTCTGTCATGTCTCTGAGAACTGAATGGACAGTGAAAGTATATATAAGACTGTACGCAAGGAAACTAGAATACACGTCTTAAAGGTTAAGGTTCTGTGATGTATCTGAGAACTGATTGGACAGTGAAAGTATATATAAGACTGTACTGTATAATGATTTTCTCTCTTTTGGTTAATGTATATGGTTGTTGACTGCAATGCTGCTGTTGCTGTATACAGTATATTTCTAAATAGACTTAGTTGGTAGAAGTATTGTCTCTGTCTAATTTACTTGACTGCTCAGACTGGAACAAGGAGCTTTTGCAACAGACGCTGATGAATTTGTGCCACTCTGATATTCTATTTATCTTTATTCGTTTTGGCATATGTGAATGCCTCAGTCAGTGTAAACTGTGTCCGTGGGGTTTGTCAAGTAATGGATGCCAGGATCATACGTTCTGGGCTGCAGCGGGGGGCAGGATATCCTCCTTCAAAAGCCTAGAAGCTGCAGGTCTTGTCAATTTCTCTAGATAGTTTCCCTTTACCACTCACTTGTGTGTCTTTCCTTTCACCAGCTCCGCCGGGGATTCTGTCACTTCCTCTCTTTTTCATCCTGTGTCTGTCTGTCTGTCTCTGTGCATGTATTGGGCTGCTAGGAAACCTCTGTTTAAATGTTTTTTTCTATGGCATACTGAACTAGCTTTATACCAGATTGCAAGAAATCAAAAAATATTTAAAATAACTCTACAGCAGCAGTGACGGTAAGAGACAGACAGTGTGAGGGCAGGTGGGCACAGGACAAAGCCTGTGGCGGTAAGAGACAGTCAGTGTGAGGGCAGGTGGGCCTCAAATGCAATCATTCTAAAAGTCGATGTAGCCCCCCTGACTGATATGTTGTTGTTGTTTAGTAGTTAAGTCATGTCCTATGCTTCGTGACCCCATGGACCAGAGAATGCCAGTATGTTATTGTTGTTTAGTAGTTAAGTCGTGTCCTACGCTTCGTGACCCCATGGGCCAGAGAATGCCAGGCCCTCCTGTCTTCCACTGCCTCCCCGGAGTTGGGTCAAATTCATGTTGGTAGCTTCGATGACACTGTCCAATCATCTCGTCCTCTGTCATCCCCTCCTCCTCTTGCCCTCACACTTTCCCAACATCAGGGTCTTTTCCAGAGAGTCTTCTCTTCTCATGAGATGGCCAAAGTACTTGAGCCTCAGCTTCAGGATCTGTCCTTCCAGTGACTGATATACAACACCATTTAAAAACAGATTAAAACTTTGACCAATAGGTTGCACAGACCAACCCCCCCCAAAAAACCCTATGTATCTACCACATGACTTAAAACCCCATAACCATCTCCTAATTCATTTTCATAGTATAAGCGCACCCTAAGTCTCTTCATAATCAATTTCTGCTTCTCAGGAATGCTGTCGTCCTTTCAAACAGGAAACGGCATTCAGGCAGTTGACCCCATAGTTGCATTCTCAGGTTGCACGGTAAATATTTATGGCTCCTCAGTTACCATCTCTTTCTTGGCAATCTGTTGACTGGCTCTTAGTTGCCTTACACAAATTCAAAGCCACAGCCCTGTTCTCCCAGGCTTGGCATGCCTGGTCCTCCTCTGAACATGTGAAACAAAGAAAAGAGTTGCTCTCAGGTTTCTCTCTTAAAGCATGGCCCTCTTTTCTTTTTAAATTAGTGATCCGTTCTTGCTTGGGCTGCCAGGATCTTTCCTTGTAAGGTTTTCTACATTGCCTTATGTACTGGGATGCCTGTGTAACTCCAAATAAAATACAGAAGACTAAATTACACTTTTTAAATAACTAATTTATCCATTATTTAAATTGACAAATTATATTAAGTATATCAAGTATATTTTCACAAGTAAGAAATGAATGGTTTTGTCTATTTGGCACTTTTTTTTCAATGCTCACCATAGAATTTGTTCTATTGTTAATTCTATATTACCTTTATTATTCAAGACAGATTCATATCTGAATGCTTCCTTGCATTCATGGAGAACAACATATGAGCATGTTTGGAAGTGTCATGTTAGACAACAAATAACTAGTGATTTTGCACCACTGAAAAGCAACTCTGGCTGCTTTTTTAATATCTTTGTTTCTTTTAATTTTAGCTGTGAGGCTTGGTTTTTGGAGTCCATTCGCCCAGCCTCAGGTTTTAGCCCTGAAATTTTGGAGCCTGGGTTTTACATTTTGTTCTCACAGCTTCAAGAAATACTCTTTTCTGTTTCATTACCTTACACACTGCTACTACTGGAATTCACATCCAGACCTTTAAGGGTTGGTTATCCGTCACCCACACATAGCACCTGCATTCGTTGCTGATGGATCTGTGTGAAATGTGTGCCTAGATCTTGGGATTCAACCCTGAAAACTCAGGGAAATGGGATGTTGCTAACCCGGCACCCCTACTTATTGCAAACTACCCATGCACAAGCATGGAAAAGCAGCAGCATTTAAGCATGGGGGGTGAACATACACCCTGGCAGCCCAGTATAGTCTGTTATACTGAGTAGTAGCTGGATGGCCAAGATGTTGGGCATTTCTAGTTTACCCCATCCCTAAGATGCTCTTAATTACAAGTGCTGGAGTCACTCACATTTGCAAAGGTGTCACATAGCAGCTATGGAATAAAAATAAAAAAGATAAAGGTTCCCCTTAACATTTAGTCCAGTTGTGCCCAACTCTAGGGTGCGGTGCTCATCCCTGTCTCCAAGCCGTAGAGCCAGCGTTTGGGCAGTGCGACTAGACACAGAACACTATTACCTTCTCATCGAGATGGTACCTATTTATCTACTTGCATTTACATGCATTCGAACTGCTAGGTTGGCAGGAGCTGGGACAAGGGATGGGACCTCACTCCACCGCGTGGATTCGATCTTATGACTGCTGGTCTTCTGACCTTGCATCACACAAGCTTTTGCGGTTTAGCCTGCAGCGCCACCAAGTCCCTAGGGAATAAAAATACCTACCTAATAAAGACTGTCTTTCCCAAAGTGAAACCCTACAGGTGTGTTAGACTCCAATCCTCACCATCCCCGGTCAGCATGGCCAACATATCCAATTGGGGAAAGACTGGGTGAATTAATTGCAAAATGATTCTTGGCTAACAAGGGAGTGAAGCTAGGCCAGCCTTCCTCAGTGTGGTACCCTCCAGATGTTTTGCACTACAGTTCCCATCAGCCAATTATCTGGGGTGAGAGAAGCTGTGCACCAGCAATATTCAACAAGGTTGCAGACTCTATGCTGGCGAAAGCTGACTTAGATTTATATCCTATGTAAACTAAGCACTGAACAAATAGGACACTCTGGATTCCAAAGTTTTCCTTGAGAGCTTCCAAGTGGCAATAGAATGTCATTAAAACTTTTTTTATTTCACTAGTTGACACAGTAGAGTTACAGAAGAGAAGGAGAAAATCATGAAATAATAACAGTCGTCCATTTCTGTAGAGATTTAACTTCTTACTCCTCTGCTTGATTAGGTGACAGTATTGGGCGTTATCTAATTGGACCACAAGGCCCACCGGGTCCTCCAGGATCTCCTGGAATCACCATTGGGATTGAATCTTTGGATTATGATGAGTTGGCCCGCCGTGTTATGAACTACATATCCAGTAAGTACAGGCTCCCTTTCCTTTCGCATTCCAGGCTTCCTTTTTTACAGTTAAGTTCTGATGTTTACTCATGGGACCATAGTTTAAGGGGAAATAGAACATAAGTATTTCCTTTTGTGAGAAGCATGTCTATTTCTGAGCATTTCCACTGTGAAGGGCCTTTACCTTTCACTATTCAATTTTTATGTGTTAGAGGTTTACTCAGGGATGGGTCTTCAGCTTAAAAATTCCCATTTTATGGTGGTCCCATTCTTTACCAGGCAAATGTTTTTGGTTGCTTGTATATGTTTTGTTGGCATGTGTGTGTCAAGGTATCCAAAACCAAGTTTGTATTGCCTGGTCTCATAATTCTGAAAAATATAGATGTGTGCCAATAATACATAGTATGGGATAGGTATTGTAGACATCAGACTTCAGGGGTGTGTTTTCTGTTTTGTTACCAAATCCTTAGGAACTACCAATTAGAGTAAAATAAAAAAAAACAATTATTTAGGACACATACATCCTTTACAGAATTAAGACATTTAGTGCCTCTGCACATATGCCTTATGATTAGAACAAAGCTTTCAACCAAAACACCACTTCTGTTTTTCTTCCCCAGGTCTTTTCATTTTAGAAACCCAATTGAAAGTGTGTGTGTTTTGGGGGGGGGAGTCTTTCTGCTTCATGCTGGCATTGTCAGCCAGCTGAGAGTCAAAAATACTTGTAGATCTCTTGCACAGCACTTGGAGATATAGCAGTAGGTTCTGGTCTACCTTCTCCCTACCCTTGTACTATGGAATCATACCACTGAGTGGAGTAATAGACCTTTTATGGTAGATGTTAGGAGTTGGTTGCCAAAGAAAGAACATCCCAATGCTACTGATCGACTGTTTATGCAGAACTACCAGTGTTTTCACAAAGTGGACAGTGGGGATGGGGTCTTGAGTCATGGGACTCGCTGTGAAGTCAGCATGAAGTTGCACTGGGGAATTGGTTCATACACAACTCTTTTTTTTCTTCTTCTTCAATGACTGGGACTCAACTCGTGACTTGGAACCCACCCACCCGCTCTCTTTTTTCTTGGAAAAAAAGAGCTTTTAATAGGGATTTAGACTTGGGACTCAGGCCCAAAGAGTCTTGCCAACATCCCTGGTAGGCTGTTTTAATGTGATTGTTTAATGTATTAATATATTGTGATGTCATGTTTTTAAGCAACATGCCTCCAGAAGCAACCAATTACTTATTTTCTTATACTGGGGATTTTCCTATTGGGCTTCAGTTGCTTGGGTTATGTGATATGTTTCTGACTATTGTCTTCCTTCTAGCTTCAGGTTCCTCATTTGGGATATCTTCCTCTTCTATATCCTCAACTGCATTTACTTATGACAATCTTCTTGCCATGTTGCAGAGTAAGTAGATACTGCCCAAAGATGGAGTGGTATGCAAGACTCTCCTACTCAGGGAGATAGGAATTTTAAGTGTCTCTATAGTGGGGATAGGAAATGGATGGCTTATGGCCCCTTTCTTAGGGCTTTTTTAAGCCTCCCAATCCTCAAAACACACTGCCAGATTTTGGTAGTGAATCACCCTGGGAAATTTTGATAGCAAACTACAAAAAAAGAGAGAAAAGGAGAAAAGATAGGAGATGCCCAGTGGGTAAAAACATATTAAGGTTATAAACTTTCTCTTGACTTGCTTTAAATGACTACGTTTTGTGTTCTGAACAAGAGGGAACAATGGGGTAATCATTGCAGTTCTCAGCTCTATTTGGCCATGGCTGTATCCTGGGTGGTAGCAACCATATCTCATAACTAGAAAATACATTGCGGTTGATACATACTGTTATATAAACAGTCATGTGAAATAGAAAGTACACCCTCTTTGAATTCTATGGTTTTACATATCAGGACATAATAAAAATAATCTAATCCTTAGCAGGTCTGAAAATTAGGTAAATACAACCTCTGATGAACAACAACACATGACATACTACACCGTGTCATGATTTATTTAACAGAAATAAAGCCAAAATGGAGAAGCCATGTGTGAAAAAACAAGTGCACCCTGACTGCTTCCATGGGAATTAAGAGGCTAAGTAGCAGCCAGGTGCTGCTAACTATACAGTATGCCTTTGAGTAACTGATCATCAGCAAGGGAGATTTCCTCTATAAAAGTCAAAGTTTTAGTAGTTTGCTGGTCTGGAGCATTCAAGTGTGTGTCAACACAATGCCAAGGAGGAACCACATCAGCAATAATCATAGAGAAGCAATTGTTGGTGCCCAACAATCTGGGAAAAGTTATAAGGCCATTTCCAAACAATTTAAAGTCCATCATTCTGCAATGAGGAAAATATTCAAGACAGTTGCCAATCTCCCAGGAGTGGATGTCCAAGCAAATTCACCCCACGGTCAGACCATCTAATGCGCAGAGAAACTGCTAAAACCCCAAGAGCTACACCTTAGATTCCACAGGCCTCAGTTAACATGTAAAATGTTAACGCTCATGACAGTGCAATTAGAAAAAGACTGAAGAAGTATGGTTTGTTTGGAAGGGTTACCTGGAGAAAGCCTCTTCTCTTTAAAAAGAATGACAGCATGGCTTAGGTTTGCAAAATTGCATCTGAACAAACCACAAGACTTCTGGAACAATGCCCTTTGGACAGACAAGACCGAAGTGGAGATGTGTGGCCACAGTGCATAATGCCACATTTGGCAAAAACCAAACGCAGCATGTCAGCACAAACACCTCATACCAACTGTCAATCATGGTGGTGGAGGCGTGATGTTTTGGGCTTGTTTTGCATCCCCAGGACCTGGACACCTTGCAGTCATTGAGTCAACCATGAATTCCTCTGTAGACTAAAGTATTCTAGAGTCAATTGTGAGGCCATCTTTCCAACAGCTAAAGTTTGGCTGGTATTGGGTCATGCAACAAGGACAATGATCCCAAGCATACCAGCAGATATGTAACACAATGTCTGAAAAAGAAAAGTATCAACTTGTTGCAATGGCCCAGTCAAAGTCCAGAGTTCAACCTGATTGGAATGTTGTGGCAGGACCTTAGGAGAGTTGTGCATAAACAAATGCCCGCAAACCTCAATGGACTGAAGAAATGTTATAAAGAAGACTGGACCAAAATTCCTCTACAATGATGTGAGAGACTGATAGTTATACAGAAAACAATTACTTTCGAGTTGTTGCTGCTAAAGGTGATTCTACAAGATACTGAATACAGTGGACCCTCGACTTACAGATGGCTGGACTTACAGACTTTTTAAGTTACAGACTTCTCTGGCTGCAAAATTTAGGTTCTACTTGCAGCCGGAGAATCGACCTGCAGACCAGAAAAAAACAAAAATGGAACAAAAATGGAACAAAAACAGACGGTTATGGATTAATCGGTTTTCAATGCATTGTAGGTCAATGGAGACTCGACCTACAGACTTTTCAGCCTGCAGCCACTGTTCCAATACAGATTAATTCCGTAAGTAGAGGGTCCACTGTAGTAAGATATACTTAGTTTTTCACATATGGCTTCTCCATTTTAGCTTTATTTTTGTAAAATAAATCATGACACATAAGATGTCATGTGTTGTTATTCATCTGAAATTGTATTTACCTAATTTTCAGACCAGCTAAGGACCAGAAGATTTGTATTGTATACTGACTGATATGTAAAACCACAGAATTCAAAAAGGATGTACTTTCTTTTCACATGACTGCATGTGGCTCATTCTCTTCTACTAAAATAAATCTGTTGGAAATATGAAACTGGAAGAAGCTGCCTCATGCAATAGAGATTGTATCTTTATTGCTTTACTTGGTGCCAACTAGATGGCTTGTAAGTACTGTACAGCATCCTAGAGTGAGTGGAGAAAGCATTTTCATAAATTAAAAATGATAACACTGGTTTCTACAGAAGTAATGGCCAGAAACACCAGTGCTGATTCTAGCCATTATTTCTGTTGTACCTCTGGAAAAAGCAACAAAGCATAAATGTCAAATATAATGTTTTTAAAACTTTTTTTAATCATTTCTCAGGAGAGGATGTCCGGGCATATCTCACTGGACCCCAAGGTCCCCCAGGACCCCCTGGGCCACCTGGACTGGGAGGAGATGGTTTATCTGTATCACTGGACTATGATGAATTGACAAGAAGGGTGATCAACTATATGACAAGTACTTGTTCTTTTTTATGACTAGTCATTTCATTATGCATAGCTGTTTGTTGATTGATTTGCCCAATGAAGTACCATGAAGGGCAAACTGACTATTTTATACCGCTTGTCAGTTGCAACCAGTTTAGAAATATTTATAGTATAACCAGCTCTCATAGAATCATAAAATAATAGAGTTGGGAAAGGCCTATAAGACGATAGAGTCCAACCCCTGGCTCAAGACAGGAATCTAAATGAAAGCAGATCTGACAGATGGTGGCCCAATTTTCTCTTGAATGCCTCCAGCGTTGGAATGTTCACCATTTCTCAACCAATGCACTTCTACTCTATAACTATGTGTGATACCAGTTTGTCTATATGACTATGGTAGACTCTTTCTGGCCTGTGCTACTTTACTGAAGCACTACAGGATGACTTGCAGCATCAGAACAACACATGAGTCATCATATGGTATGGGTGCAGATTGGTGATACTATATTTACAAGGTTGAATCAAGACATAGTCATGGAGTAGACCCTCTGAAATAAGCAGGATTTATATTAGTCAATGGTTCTGCTCCAGGTATGGCTAAATTTGGATCCAATGTTCATTTTCCACGATGTTGATTCCCATCTAAAGTATATTTTAATGATTTCAGGTATTTAGGACTGTGAAACATTGTGATTTTTAAGAGGCATTCATAAAATGGGTTTGTAAACAGCCATAATCTATAGGACTGTTTTCAGATCAGACCTATTTCACAGAAGTTATCTCAAGAAGCCATTTTTGTTACATTATCAACTTCAGTACAGTAATTTGGGTAAAAATTAAAAAAAGATCTGTACATTTTATTACTGATCAGAACCTGCTCAGAAGCAATCTAGCGGTGATCAGACAGAACAAGCCATAAAGGCATAATCATCTTAACTTTTCCTGGCTACAGAATGAGAAGAGTCAGGATTTTCAAATTCTCCCAGTTGCCAAGCAATCTAAGCTTCAGAACTTAAGATGTTCTTTCCACAAGGAAAATCAGGCTCAAATCAGGCACAGTGCTAAAGTCAGAAACTGGAAGAGTTGCCTTTTCTTTAAAGCTTTATTTCCCCACCTTACCCAGTCAGCATAGGTTTTCCAATCTCTGGCTGAAGTAAAAGGGTATTTCCAGATGGACACTGCCTTGCGCTGATACCTGGATATGGCTGAAAGTAGTTTCTTCCTGGTTATACAATGGAAGAAAATATCAGTCAACAGATACTGTGCACCTATACATTTTGTTAGCATTGTGCCAAGACCTGGCTGTCAAACTGTGAATTATGTGGCTGGTAAATAATCTCCTTTTCTGTATTTTGTTTCAATATCTATTAAATATTTCCTATTTGTATTTTTATTTTAAAATGTCTGTTAATGTTGTAGGTTCAGGCATGACCATTGGGCTTACTGGCCCTCCAGGTCCCCCTGGTTTACCTGGAACATCTTACGAAGAAATCCTTGCATTACTCCAAGGTAATCTTTCTGATCCAAGTCATTTGGGAGGGTTATGTGTATTAACCAGGTTTGGGGGAGGTTATAGTTTGGACTACAACTCCCAGAATCCTGACTAAAGTAGTCCAGAATAGCAACACTCTGAGATTGTGATATTAACAAACTTCTGTAGATTGTGTATGCAAAGCTGTCTTATGTCAGATTTGCCAGCTAGATCTCCTGGTGCATTGTCATCCAGTTTGGGTTTGTCACTGATAGGTCCATCTTGTTCAGATGTTCAGAAGGGCTGGAAATGCAGCACATATATTTTACTCATAGAATCATATGAGCCTCATGGCGCAGTGGTTAAACTGTGGCACTGTAGCCAAAACTGTGCTCAGAACCTGGGGTTCAATCTCAGGTAGCTGGCTCAAGGTTGACTCAGCCTTCTATCCTTCCGAGGTCAGTAAAATAAGTACCCAGCTTGCCGGGGAGGCAAAGGGTAACCTGTAAATTTTACTTGTAAACCACCCGGAGAGTGTTTTAAGTGCTATGGGGCAGTATATAAACAGCATGCTTTTTGCTTTACTCAGTGAAGAACAAAGAGAAAGGTTTAGTGCCACTGCGTTCACAGAAAACAAGACAGAGGTTAAACTGAGTAACTGCATTCAGAGAAAGTTGGGAAATGGAGGAATGTCAGGGCAAAATACTGTAGGTGACATGTGAATGAGCTATAACACTGCAAGCAGATTGCATATGCTTGTACTGTAGCTGCCTTTAGCCGGTTTTTAATACATTCCACAATAGCCCCAATATAGTTTGGTGAATCTAAGAGAGTGGCTCCTATTCAGTGGTTCTTAGTGCCAAAGCAGCAGATTCTTCCAGTCATCATTTCCTCCTACACATGCCTCACTGAGACAGAGAAGTCCTTCTGCCTTTTGTGTAGCTGGTGGCAATTCTGTTTTGGTGAAAGGGGCTGGCAAAAAGGGGAAAGGGGAGTGCATATTGTAACAGTGCCTTCTTCATATATTTTGCTCTCCCCCCCCCCAGCTTCCGAATTTAGTGGCATTGTAGGCCCACCTGGTCCCCCGGGCCCACCAGGAATACCAGGCAGTTCCACCCTCACTGCAGAAGGTATTGCTGCCTACCTCCAAAGTGAGTACATTTTCATCCTCTTTGCTTGTGTTCATAGGGATCTGGGGATCAAATAAGATGTTGAGGGGAATTTCTCAGAAAGATTTACCTCAGTAATCTGACTTGCATATCCCCATCTTACCTTCCAATGACCAATCAGAAAACAAAGCTTGTTAGATGGTAAGATACGTAGGTGATGAAAAATCATATCCTGTGACAGACTACTTGAGAGAAGGAGAAGAGGAGGAGGAGGAAGGGATAGATACGGTATATATTGCAATTTGTGCCTGAGTTCTTTCTAGCGTTAGAGAGAGAAGTGGTGGGAAATTGCACAGCCTTTTGAATAACTATATTTATAAACATGAGCTAAATTTCTGTTGCTTGGTGTTAGAAAAATTGTAATTTTCAGTCCATTTGTAGATGGTGAATTAAAAGTTCCCCTCTGCTTACACTGGCTTGGTGCACGCATGCATGTGCATCCCTAAGAACAGCAGATGTCCCTAAGACTTCGTTTTTGCTGGTTAGGAATGGGATGAAAATTACAAATTTTCTTACACTAAGTAACAGGAGTACAGCCATTGAATTATTTGCATAATAATCCAGTGACACCTATAATAATGAATTCCAGGTGATTTAATCCACAGAAATAGGTATTGGAAATATAGTAGCCTAATGACTTTATCAATGGGTCCAAAATTCTGCTGGTCTTACCCAGTAATTTTTTTTTAAAAAATGAGAAATTGCTGGAATACTCACAGTGTGGATATCTTTGTCTTCAGGCAGACTTGGGAATATTGGAGTTGGCCAATGTAAGAATTTCAGCCACTGCTAGATACATTTATTTTATTTATTTTATTAAACTTATATACCACCCATCGAGAACATGTCTACTCTGGGCAGTTTACACAAAATATAAAAAATAAACTATAAAAGCATAAATGTACTAAGAATAAGACCCAAATTAACAGCAGAATCCAAGGTGTGGAGAGAAAAAGGAAAAGGAAAAAAGAAAGATAGGCTAGGTGATGGCTGTAAGGAAGCCCTGCCTCTGTAGCCATGTCTTCAGCAAGGGGGCCTCGTGGATCTCTACAGGTAAATTGTTCCAGAGCCCTGCCTCTATAGCCATGTCTTCAGCAAGGGGGCCACGCGGATCTCTACAGGTAAATTGTTCCAGAGATGAGGGACCACTGCTGAGAAGGCCCGATTTTTAGTTTTTTCCCTTCGGACCTCTCTTGGCGTTAGACCCCTCAGCCACCTAGCCTGATTGGAATGGGTGATGCAGGCAGAACTAGGCGGAAGAAGGTGTTCTGCCAAGTATTGAGGGCTTAAGCCATTTAGGGTTCTGTATGTAATAGTCAAGACCTTTAAATTGATGTGGAAGTGAATAAGTAGCCAGAGCAAGGTGGCCAGGGTGGGTGAAATATGGTGGAATCTTTTCACCTCAGTTAACAGGCTGGCCACCGTATTCAGGACCATTTGAAGCTTTCGCATCAGTCTCAAAGGAACCCCCATGTATAGATTTAAGTGGGCGGACCGAACCACAAGCGCTACCTGGGTCTCCATGGTAAGCACCAGGTCAAGATGGAACCCCAGACTGCGAACCACATTCTTTGCAGTGAAAGTTGCTCCCCAAAAAAAGAGGGAGTTCCCCAAACCACTAACATCACGAGTGCCCACCCGCAAGACCTCCGTCTTGTCCGGGATCAACCTCAGTCCATTCGACTGCATCCATTGTAGGACGGTCTCCAGGCAGTGCTCAAGGTATGAAACAGCATCCACTTCAGATGGAACAAAGGAAATGTAGAGCTGGGTGTCATCAGCATATTGGTGACACAAAGCTCCACATCCCTTGATGACACCCCCCCCCAGCAGCCTCATATATATGTTAAATAGCATTGGGGAGATGATCGAACCCTGCAATACCCTGCAATTGAGGGACCAGGGGCCGATACATTTTCCCCAAGCTGAACTTTCTGGAGCCAATTCTCCAAGAAGGACCAGAGCCAAGCAAGAGCAAGGCCACTGATCCCCACCCTGGAGAGCCTTTCCAGGAGGATACCGTGGTCGACAGTATCAAAGGCAGCTGAGATATCAAGGAGAACCAACAAGGACGTTTTGTCCCTGACAGCCTCCCTAAGTAGGTCATCCAGCAGGGTGACCAATGCCATCTCTGTGCCATGAAGCCCAATTGAAATGGATCCAGTGTCAGCCTTACTAGTGCATCTTTATGGAAGGTATTTGTCATTGTATGCAATAATACTTCAAGTGACCGTGTTAGATCTAGAATTTGGCTCATACAACTGATTAGTGGGACTGGATTCCCTCAGCCTCTTTTCCCTATAGGACCCTCTTTAGCACCCTGAAAATGCTACACGAGGAACCTTGTTGAAAAGGATGAACTGTGGTTAAGTAGTATCCCTAAAAACTGAATGGCGACACCTCCAAAGAGCACAATCTTTACATCCCCAGAAGGCAAATCCTGGATTGAGATTGTTATTTTAAAAACAGTGTCATATGTCAAATTTTTTTTAAAAAAGTTCCAATTGAATTATCAGAATTTTATTTCATCTTTACAGCATGTAAGGGTAAAAGGCTAAAAAGGTCTTACTGAATCTAAAAATTTGCAAATACAAATACTATTTTGAAAATTATTTCAAGAAAAAAATTGATTTTGACAGATGTATACAAAAGTTATCTTGTAATGAACTACTGTGAAGAGACTCAAACTAAAACTTTGGAAATTTGTTATCCTAAGTACCTTACTATGGAGTACAGGCAACCTGCAGAGTCCCAGGCTACCCTCAGAAGAAGGGAATGGTAAACCACTTTTGCATATTCTCCGCCTAGAAAATCTTGAAAAGGGTTCCCAAAGGTGAAAAATGATGGCATACGATTACTGTATTATTATTATGCCTTGCTAAACACAGTGAGATTTATTTCTGGGCAAGCATCCATTAAAACCTAGGGAAAACAAAAGGAATGAAAATATAAAATATGAATGTGAAGAAAAATTTAAGGCTCTGGTTGCTAAACAAGTATAAGCTTAGGTGGATGTGTCACTGATGACCAGAACAGTTTCTTTGGCTTCTTTTCCCTATAAGGTGTGGGATATTCCTCACTTTCTGGACCTCCTGGCCCCCCTGGCCCCCCAGGTCCCCAGGGACCCCCAGGACCACCTGGCTTCTCTGGAACAGGCCTTATTTCTGATGGTGGAGGTGTTTGGACTGACCAGTTCAGGAGTGAATTGATCCAATACCTTACTAGTAAGTCTCTCTCTCTCTGATACCTACAGTGTTGTCTGCTGTAACTAGCTATTGCTCATCTTGAAATTTCAAGTCTGGGACTCACCTTGGCACTCTGCCTATGACTGATCTTACAGATGTTTTCTAGCAGCTGATAAATACATACTTCAGCTGTTCGCCTGGACTGAAAGATCCGTTGAAAAAATGAAAGTGCTTACTGCATTATGGCTTTGTTTTAAGGTGGTGCCATTTCTTTTCTGGTTGATCTCTTTGGCCTGTCATGCCTGTGGAAGATACTTTTTTAAAAATTGTGTTCCTTTAACAAAGAGTGATGAAAAATGAGAATGACAACTCACCGAACAGAGTCTTACCCTCACTTTCACCTCAATCTGTTTTGGCTTTTTTTAAAAGTTTCCAAAAAACATGATTTTTTAAAATGACAGCTATGCCCATCACTTTGTATTTCTATAATACAAAGTGATGTATTACAGAAATCATCCTGCTTTATTGCATGAGTTCCAAGACTTGCAAATATTAATCATAATTTAATATACCGAAACACAAATGACTGGAGAGAAAACCCAAACACACCCCAATTCCTTCAGAATCTGATGGTTTTCACCACCAGGTGCTTAAGTGGTTCATATCCATTCAGATTTACATATTGCTGTTTACAAAGTGTAGTTTACAGTAGAATGAAAATATTAAAAATGCAATAATGTAAGACCAGATCTGTGTAACATTAAGAAAAAGTGAAGTACTTATCAAAAATAGTAGTCTCTTAATAAGAGATCTCAGAAATTTCAAATCTTTCCAGCTACAAATATTTGTATCTCAGGCTACATTCTCCATGTTAGTTATAAGTCGTTGCCTATTTTGATAAACATCCAGCGTAGACGGCCCATCTTGTATGGCCAATCCCTGCCGGAGCAAACAAGGCAAGGCAACAAATGGAAGTAAATGAGCTATTGTGGACCATTGCACAGTGCTTATCAACAGTCTACTATAGCCAAGTAGATTTCTGATAGAGGTGACTACCATGCTGTAGATGGTTTTATAGTTCTGACTCTTTCCTGCTGCTGCGGATTTTTCATTACAGTTACCTTCAGTATCATCAATAATTTTTATTTGCATCCTGTGCAAGCTTCTGCATCCCTGCACAGTTACCTATTGCCAGAGTCCAGTAACAACTGGCCTAGTTCCATTAATGCCCACTGTTGTATTTTGTAGGTGATGATGTACGTGGCTTCATCAGAGGACCTCCTGGACCTCCAGGACCACCTGGCAACTTCATGGCTGAATCTTTTGCGGGGTCTCTAAATTCAGAATACGGCAGGTCTGTGAGTTCGAGCAGAACCTATGATGCATCGCTAGCCAGAGGCGGCTCATACAGCAGTTCATTGGGAAGCAATGGTGAATATGGGGCATCCCTTGGAGCAGATGGATCTTATGGTGCATCACTTGGAGCAGGTGGCTCTTACGGTGGATCGCTTGGAACAGATGGATCTTATGGTGCAGCTATGGGAGCAGGTGGCTCTTTTGGTGGATCACTTGGAACAGATGGATCACAGATGAGATCAAGTGGTGTAGGAGCCTCCTATAGTGGATCATTATCTGGGTCATTGGATTACAATGAGTTGGCAGCCAGAGTGTCTGAAAATATACAGAGTAAGTATGCCCATATTTTATTCCATGCCATGTAAAATTCTGTGAGCAGATAGCTGTAGTATAGAGCAGAACAAGCAAATATATTATGCCTACTACTCAATACCATTCCTTTAAAAAAAAACCTACCCACTATCATCTTGTAAAATGCTCAGCTTAAAAAAACAAAAACTACCCACTATCATCTTGTAAAATGCTCAGACTTTGACGTGTCAGTAAAGAAGCACATACCCTACTGTATATAAAGATATTGCCTTGTTTGTGGTCACACATACTATATATAAAGATATTGCCTTGTTTGTGGTCACCATGCTTTTTAATTAGCTTCTGCAAACTCTGGAGCTCACAATTTTGAAACACATGGCTCTTTCAACTGGAAAGAAACTCTGTTTTCCAATGCTATCAGACTGATAGTTTAATACAAGTCTTCAAGTTTACAAAAGAACGATGCAGGCAACTATTCAGCACTGTGCTTCCAGCTTTACCTAGGAATTGGGAGGCTACACCCTGCACATCATGACAGATTCCCATGATTAGAAGTCTATGTACATGGATTTTGTACAGGTTTGTCCAAGCAGCCAACACACATCAGACGGTTCTTTGAAGAAACCCACTAAATGGCTGACATGCAGAGCTGAATCTGTTAAAATTATTCCTCAGGGCTGGGAAACCCTGGAACATGGAAAATTTAATTAAGTGTCCCTGGAAATTAAAACCAAACATGTGGCTCTTAAGCACATGAACTCCAGCAGTTGGACTTTATTTCCTGGTGGTTGCATGCCAATAGGAAGCAGATTTTGGACTTCACTGGAGTATGATTGTTACTTCTGGAAAAGGTGGACAAAGTGCAAGAGCTGTTGCATGATATAGCATGATTTTCAAAGAAACATAGGAGAACATTCCACCACCACCCCATTTTTTTGCAGAACTTTATGTAATTTCTCAGAGTGCAGCAGATATTCACCATGGATCCCAAGGTCAATGTCTGCAGTAACAATGGGCATTCATTGGAAAGCTTTTTTGAAGTACATAGGCACAGTTGGGAAATGTTTCTTTAGAATGTGATATCTACTTTTTACTACTTGGTCTTTTGTAAACTTGAAGACTTGGGCACTCCCAGGAACAGGATCCTGGCTTCTTGGAACAGTAACTAATCTCATGTAATTCATTTACTTGATGAGATATTTTTATTAAAAAAAATCACCCCCATAATTGCCAAACCTGATGGCAATGTCCCGGAGTAGGCATTTAATAAGTGTCCATACCAAGCAGGGCACTGCATTAATTTTGTGCTGAATCTTTTCCTAGAGTTTTAACAATGCCTTACACAAGCGGAGCAGAAAAATGCCACATCTTTCTCATAAGAGAAAGGCAAGCCTTTTGCCAGCTCTTTATGCAGTTTGCTCATTTGTAGAACCGAGATACTCGTTTCAGTTCCGATCAGAGAACAGGAAATATGAGTTGCTTTCATGTCTTCCATTTTGACTTTGTCCAAATTTTCAGTTCTGATCAGAGAACAGGAAACATCAGTTGCTTTCTGTCTTCATGTCTTCCATTTTGACTTTGTCCAAACTTTCCAGGCCGAGGGCTACTCCAGGACATGATGACTTACGCTGTGCAAGGACCGCCTGGGCCTCCAGGTCCACCAGGCATCCCAGGCATCAGCAAGGTCTTTGCCTCCTACGGCAATGTCACAGCAGATCTCATGGATTTCTTCAGAAGTAAGTGACATCTCGGTTTCAGCATATTACATGCCACTTCTTGCAGCTGTAATTTTACTGGGTGGTCTAGCTAAATAGTAGAATGAGGCTTTACAACAAATTGGATTTACGCCCTTTGGGGAAAGGATAGCATATGTAGTTCCTCTCCTCATTCATTGCTGCTGAATACAGATATCAGTTTTAAGGATACTGGTCTCCCTTTGGAACATTCATGTTTGGTAACCCACAATATTTCTTGTAATTACAAATAAAAAGCAGATATCCAGATATGCTGAAATTTGATTTTTTTTTCTTTTCATTGTAGCTTATGGAACGATTCCAGGACCACCTGGGCAGAAAGGAGAAATGGGATTCCCAGGTCCCAAAGGTAAGCAGTGGGATGCTGTGCTTGTCAACCTTTGAGAATCCCCAGAAAGCAAAAGGTTCATTCTCCCCTCCTCAAAGTAGCACCTTCTATTTAGCCATACTAAAAGGTAACCTACTGAAGCTGCATCAACAATTTCAGTAGATACAGGGATCGGCAGCAGAATATATCTTCATTTGCTAACAGGGTTCCAGGTTTAATTTATGTCCTCTCCCAGGAAACTCCCTTTCCTTCCCCCTCTCCCCATTTTCTGTGTCACTTTCTCAACTGACACTCAATATTGCTTGGCTACTGAGCATGCTCACTCTCCATTGGGCTATATGCCTTCTGAAATGAAGGTGTGTGTCGGGGTGGTGGTGGTTTTTTAAAGCCTCAGGATTTTCTTGAGCATTACTGTCTCTGGTTTCTTAGTGGCCCTGTTTGGTTTCCAATCTTGCCAGCATTCACCACCAAAGTTTCCTATTAGAGCAATTGGTCATAAGCACTCCAAAATGCTAATTTGGATGCCTGAAATATTATTTTTGTTTGTAAATTAAATGAAGTTGACTGATAGCCTGGCCATTGGTGAGGCACATCAGGAAGTGCCATTAACATCAGCTGAAAGGCCACACATTCCCTATTCCTTATACAGAAGCAGACCAGGCAAGGCAAAATTGTTGCCAGCATGGTTGATTATGAAGTTACAGCCATATTGCATATGTGTCTCCCAATCAACTGCTGTTTAAAAGTGTAGCAGAGAACATGTGAGAGTGTCATGGCTTCGTTGTTACATGTGTGCAGAAAATTGTGTCCCATTCCACAAAAAATAAAGTGTTGTACATTACCCTCAAGGATTGGTTCAACCATACGAACAAGTTTTTTTGGATAATGGCTATGTCTGCTAAAACAAGACATGTTACTAGAACATATTCTGTGAGAGGATTCCTGAAATATAGCATTAAGTCTTTGAGGACGGAGAAAAATGGATGAAGCCAGCTCTCCATCTTTTGGCTGGAGGAACCAGACTGCTTTGCACTTGAACATTTTCGAACTAACAACCAGAGAGTTATGAGTTAAAGGCCTTCTTTTTTCTTTCAGGTGATCCTGGACCAATGGGCCCACCAGGTCGCCAAGGACCAAGAGGTCCAAAAGGTGAAAAGGGTGAAAAAGGTACATATCCTATCCCCTAAGAGGAAAACACTTTGGGAATTCTACTAGAGCCACAACAGGGAGGCAGAATGCAGGCCCAAGCATGAGAAGTTCACTTTCTTCATAGTCCAGTCCTGGTCTTCTAATCTGTACTGCTTTCATTTCTTGTGGGTAACTTTTCTTCCCCTTCAGAGGTCCATATTAGCCTAGGCAGTGGCCAGAGATGAATGAAAGGATGTAATCCTCAGTTCCTTTTCTTGAGACAAAGCACGGGGGGCTTTAGATGTTATAAAATTCAGATATGTACATTGCTTTCAAGTAACAAGCTGATTGTTCCCCCCTCCCATCCCAAAACTCAGAACGTAATACCTGGATTTCTGTAGTTACACACACACACACACACAAAAACCAAGTATCTCTCTCATAGTAGGGCAGTGATCCACCTTACTGTTTCTCTGTAAGATAAACTTTCTGTCTCTGATTCTCTGTCCCTCAGGTGAAAGAGTATATGCTGGTCAAAGGAAGAGGAGAAGCATAGGAGTCTAAGCTATGAAGAGAAATTAGGGCAGAAGCTTCATCAGTGGTTTGTGGCTGTTCTTCCTAAAGCAGCAAAGATAAAAGCTCTAATTTTAGTGACTTCTACCAAGAAACCACCACTCCACCACTTATGTTTGATACCTGGCAAATCAGTGATTTACTTAACATGTAATCTTACATTTAGAACTAGGGTGGCTTCCACGTATCCCACTACCTGCTCCTTTGCTTGTTGTTATCAGACATGGATTGGACCCAGATACAACCCTCATCTAGGTCAGAGGATTTTACATCAACATGGCCTTGAAAGATTCACTTATTATCTAGGTGATACCCTATCCTAACTCAGCTTTCTCAGAAGAAGATTGGATTGAAAAGTCTTTAGTAGAAACCAAACCACTACAAATACTAAACAGTGTACAATGAGATAGGTTGGATTGAGAGGTTATGTGGTAGCTTACCTATAGTCCGCATGCCTTATAACAAAGGATCTGGGTTTTAGAAAACCAAAGCAAGTGACAAGCTTGGTGATACCCTATCCTAACTCAGTTTTCTCAGAAGAAGATTGGATTGAAAAGTCTTTAGTAGAAACCAAACCACTACAAATACTAAACAGTGTACAATGAGATAGGTTGGATTGAGAGGTTATGTGGTAGCTTACCTATAGTCCGCATGCCTTATAACAAAGGATCTGGGTTTTAGAAAACCAAAGCAAGTGACAAGTGCTAGCAGGATGCATAACTATGGGCTGAGCTTTAAAGAAAACACTTTATTATTAATTGCATTGCAAAAATGTGAAGGATTTGGGGCCTATTAGTATTTAAGCACTTTTGTTAGAAATGGGATTTTTTATGTGTTCCATGGTTTGTTTGTTTTTATTGAATTAGAAGTGCCGTTCGAATAAAGAGCGTCCAAATTAGAGCTTGTTCATACTCTGGTCTCACTTCAGCAGGAACCAGACACAACAATAATACGGCAAATGGACATAGCCAGGATTAGTTTAAGCAGACTAACAGTACAGAAAATAATATTAAGTGCAGTAGCATGTTCCCCATATTGAGCTCAGTATCTGCCTCTTCAGAAGCACACAGATTTTGAACCGCCATCTTCCATCTGCTACTTGTTTACATTGAGGACCTCCTTAAAGTGACCAGTTTTAATGAGCATCTTCAATCACTTAAAGCACCTGTAGCGAATACATGATCAGTCTTCCAGATTCAGAACACAGTACAAATGCCATAAATATATTGCAACACTAATAAAGGTTGATCCGAACAGCTTAGCTTAAGTAGGATCTGTGACTAAGTACTGATCCCATATTTACTGAGTATTAAGTTACATTTTAATAGCAAAAGCTGCAATTTTACATTTACGCTGGATGCTTTGGAACTTTTAAGTTTTGAACCAGTGTAACTTCAAAAATGTTGGGGTACAGATAACTTTTCAAAATGACTGCTCAATAGAACTCAGTGTCTCCATTTGCCATAAAATCAGGCCTTACCATAACTGATAACAAAAATGCAGAATTCAGCACAACTCAACCCAACACACCATTCGGAAAATTAGTATCAGAACAGGCTAAATTCTACAAAAGCTGGTGACTCACACACAAATAAAAATCCATAATTGTACTCAAATCTTTCTCCAGTGCAATGAGGTCCATAGTGGAAATGCTGGACATAGGCCACAAGTCAGAAAACCACACTATTTCAGTAAGGCTCCATACTTTTTTTTAACAACTTACACACTTTGGTGAACTTGTGCTACTCAATTGTGCAACTTTCAGAAGCAGTTTGTGACACAAGACAGAGCAACATCCTGCTACACTATTACGTACAAACCATTGCACGCACATAAGTGCTTTTCTCAACTTGTAATAACTGTCAAGATCTATGATAAAGGAACTCCAGCTTTTGTCAAGTCCTAGTTCTAAATGCTCATGTAGAACAAGATGCATATCCTGTAATTCACATATTGGCTTTCTGTTATAAGATTGGGTAACAAGCATGCTAGTGAACAGAATGTCTTTCTAACATATGAAACAGTTTCCTGTGTATTTAAACCAGCTGTATGTTAATGAGATGTCCACATTTTTAAAAATAAAGTTGCTTTAAACATTTTTCATTCTTTCGGATCCTGTGGTAAGGACTGTGTTGCCTGGTGTTTCACTATATCCTTGTGTGAGGAAGAGTATAAAGAAACAGCAAGGAGTGAGTCGTCCCCTCACGTAATTGTTGTAGAATCAGAGATATCAGTAAAACCCAAAGCAAAGGAACGAGCTGAGGAGATAGAGGAAGGTCGCGCGGGCAGAATAGAAAGAGCTCGCGAGGATGGAATGCGCGGGAGAGAGAGGCAGTTGAAGCCGTTAGAAGGAGCTGAGGCAGGAGCAAGAAGGAAGGTGTACCGAGAGAGGGAGCAGATAGATATATTCCTGACCACCGAAGAGGGAGCAATCTCTAGAGAAACTAAGAAAGTGACCGCATTTAAAGAAAGCGAGTCAGGAGGATCAGTTAGAGATGCCCAAGCCTTTTCAGTTCCTGTGAAGAGGTTTGCTCATGATCTGATAGAGGGAGAAGCTGAAGACTGCAGAGCCAACAAAGTGAGACCCATCATCCCCCGTCTAAGTCCCGAAGAATGGGCCGTGTTGGTTTATCTGAAGAAACAGGGTCCTGCTCGAATGGTACACCATGTAACCCCAGAAGAAGAGAAAAAAAACATTGAGAGAGGGGGAGTGGGTCCGCGATCCCTGTTGCGGGACTCTCTGCGCAGTTTGCAACAACTTTCTGAGATTGGCGACGGAAACACAGTTCGCAACAACTTTCTGAGATTGGCGACGGAAAAAGAGGAGAAAACAACTAACTATTAAAGGGTTTAAATGAAGAAAAATCCGTTATGGTTTGGGGAGAATTCTCCTCCCCAGTTATCTGTTCATAGTTCCAATGTTAATAACAAAGAAGTTACAAATAGTTTTGTTAATAAAAATTCTTTATTGAACACTTCAGAATCTTCTCTTGTGTCTCCGAATAAGGAAATGCCCACAGGTAACAGAGAACCCACTCACACCTTGGCTCTTTATACAAAGGAGGAAATGTTGAGATATGTTTGACAAATGAGCAGAAGCTGATTTTAGGTTTTGCTTGTCCAGATCCAATATATAATCCCTGCTTAGTGTCACCCTAAAGTGCTATTTTTTCTTTCTTTCATGGTACTATTCTATGCACATCTTCTTGGAACTAAGAGCCATTGAATTCAGTGACACCTCCAGGAAATTGTTCAAATCTGTACATAGCATAAGGCCATTGAAAAGAATTCTCCAATCCTTTATCTGGTTTCTGGCCTTCTGTAGCAAAAATGTATTTGTCATTTAAATAATTATGAGACAACACTGCCGTGTTGATTTTTCCATATTCAGGTGCCAAATGCTTTCCATTCATCTGTGTTATAAACAGTTGCAGCAGAAATGAATGTTCGAGCGGTGTGTGTGCATGTGATGCACTAATTTCACATGCAGCAGAGAGGGATGCACAGGAAAACAATTATGTGCCTGTTTTTAACACAAAGATGCAGATCCACACGTATGCACATACATAAAATACCTATGTAGTAGAAGGATGGAAAATAGCAAATGTTTTTGTCCCTTGCAACACAAAGATTCCTGCAGCCAATAATTTTACTTTTACCTTTAGTTCTTCTGTTGCGTGCAGGAAACTGGTTGTAAAATCATTTGGTATGTCTTATATCTCCTACCGCTGTTTAATGAAACCAGATTCACATTCCTTCCCTCAAAGAAGCTCCATTAACAGACCGCATCCGTGTCCTTTAGAAACTGCAGCTGGTGCAAAAGGATAAGCCACGATGTATTTATTAGGTGCTGAGCAAAAACTGTTGGAAGATTCTATTTTCTCCATTCCTGAATTAAAGCACCTGGAATACATCTCTATAGAGGTCAATTACTTCTGATTGGTGGAACCAAGCAGAACCATAGGGATTACTGAAGACTTATTTCTGCAGGCTATTATACCCCTGAATAATTTCAGAGCTGTGCTTTAACAATGCATAGTGCCAATGTCTACCTCTCTCTTGGAGTAATTAACTGAACAAGTATGGTAATTGCACAGGAAATCCAATCTAACACTGATCAAAGTGGAAGTAATCTTCAGCACTGGACTTTCCATAGACTGATTCCAAAAAGAAAGCTCAATCCAGTATAAGACATGCTGATCCCACTTGAAGAAACCATTGTCTGTGGTATTATAGTAGCATCCACTCTTCTAATTTTTAGAAACCAAACCAGTCAGACACAGCATTCAGGTACAGTACAGACCAATCAACCTTTTCTCGCTCCCCTTAACTGTGGAAAAAGCTCATCACACTCCATATTCAAGACTTCTTCAGCAGTCTCCCAATTTTGTCCATATTTATGTTGTGCTAGGCTCCAAAAACAGACTTGAGATTTCACTAAAGCAGTTAACTCCTCCAAATTAGGAGTGTTGTGTAACATCCATTCATTTGCCCAACAGTCTCCCTGTCAGAAATGTAGGTACTAGTGGCATATGGCAACTCCAAAAATCAATAACCTGGAATTATGTAATATATATGCTGAGCCTTCAGACATCATGACCTCCATGATAACCACTGGCTTTTCTAAAACTTTCCCATTCCATTTTGAAAAACATTCATCAAATTGGGTTTATCTTCCACAGGAAGATGCCAATCTGGAGGTCGGAGAGTTCAAAGTAAATCCTTCATCATGGACATACACTATAGAAGCAGGGTTTAGACTTATCACAACTTATCTCTACAGGAATGGCAGAATCAGGGCTACCTATGGAAACTAAAATACAAGTGGAAAAAATAGACAATACCTTTATATATAACACATGAATTTTTGTGGATAAAATACTACTTCATCAGGTTTGTACCAGTCCAAAAAATCATGGCAAGATGGATTTTGCCAAGACAGTTACTCTTAGATGTAAAGTCCAAAACCTTTTGGTGAGATGGAATTCGTCAGGCACTTCTTTCTTAGATGTAAGCCAGGAAGTATACGGTTACTTTCTTATGGTCACAGCGGAAGCAGCTGTGGATTGAATGTAATAACCCAGTTCTCTAACAAAGAAGCACAGGCCATGTGCCTTGTTCATTACATATCTATTGCATTTACATCCCACCTTTCTTCTGGTGAGCTGAAAGTGGCATGCACATCTTTCCTCCCTACACTTTATCCTCACAACCATCCTACGTATGACATAGGTCAGATTGAGAGACTACGACCAGCACAAGCTCACCAAGCGAGCTCCATGGCAGTGGAGGCTGAACTGGGGTCTCTAGACAAAGCTTTGATCAACAGGGACTTAAAAAAAGTATTCCTAAGCACCCTCAGGCGACTAAGCCTAGAATCAGCTGCGGGGGTTGTTAAAGAAAAACCTGGTCAAGTCCAAACACAGATTTCCTTTTAGAGTCCATAGTGTAGAAACATTTGCATTTGTTTGGGCTCATTATTTTATAGTGATTCATGTTTCTCATTTTGATAATGAGATGTCATATTGTGTGCCAGTGAGGGTGTTGAAGAACTTTTCTAAGATTTTAAAAAAAAGGATCAGAATTAGGTTACTCACAAAATAAATGCGTATTCTGTCAGGTCTGAAAATGTAAGCTGAGAGTGTCACACATTTCTCCATAAAGGAGCAGCAGCTGTTTCTCAAAACAGGCAGAACAGAGCTATGCATGTAAATCATTCATCCTAATAGGTTAGGAAATGAAAGGCTATTTTTATTATCGCAAAACTCCTGACTAAAATGTAGATATTATTTGGTTAGAAAATCATGCATACTTTGAAATGAAAATGAATTTTGGAGCAAGGTGAGGGGAGAGAAGAATGATCTTATTCCCGCAACTAGAAAAAGAAAAGATTACTACAGAGTGAAGCAGACAAGTAGGCAGAGACTTCAAGCACAACATTAATGCAATTAAAATTCTGTTTATTGAATCTTTAATGCATTTCTTCTTAGATAAGAAAGAACTCAAGCTCTATTTAAAATCAGAATACAGTGGTGCCCCGCTAAACAGTTACCCCGCATGACAGTTTTTTCGCTAGACATTGGCTTTTTGCAATTGCTATAGCGATTCGCAAAACAGTGATTCCTATGGGGGGATTTCGCTGGACAATGTTTGGTCCCTGCTTCACAAACCGATTTTCACCAGATGAGGATTTTGACAGCTCCCTCCGCACTCGCAAATCAGAATACAGTGGTGCCTCGCTAAACAGTTACCCCGCATGACAGTTTTTTCGCTAGACATTGGCTTTTTGCAATTGCTATAGCGATTCGCAAAACAGTGATTCCTATGGGGGGATTTCGCTGGACAATGTTTGGTCCCTGCTTCACAAACCGATTTTCACCAGATGAGGATTTTGACAGCTCCCTCCGCACTCGCAAACAGGTGTTTTCGGGACCTAAGCTTCGCAAGACAGCAATTTAAACAGCTGATTGGTGGTTCGCAAAGCGGCTTTCCTATGGCCGATCTTCGCTAGACAACGACGATTCTTCCCCATTGGAACACATTAAACAGGTTTCAATGCATTCCAATGGGGAAATGCTTTTCGCTAAACAATGATTTCGCTAAACAGCGATTTCAGTGGAATGGATTATCATCGTCTAGCGAGGCACCACTGTATCTGAAGCCATACACTCTAGAATACAGAAAGTGATGTTGGCATTTACCACAATACCTTCCATGCAGGATCTGTGCAGTGGCTTGTCCCTCATAAGAAAATAAGAGTCCTGCTGGATCAGTCAAAGGGCCCATCAAATCCAGCTTCCTGTATCTCACAGTGGCCGATAAGAGTCCTGCTGGATCAGGCAAAGGGCCCATTTAATCCAGTTTCCTGTATCTCACAGTGCCCCACCAGATGCCTCTGGGAGCACAAGAGATGAGAGACCACTCTCCTGATAACCCCTCCCCTGCATCTGGCATTTTGAGATACCTTCCTTTTAAACCTGGAGATTATACATCCCCATCATGGCTTGTAACCTACGATGGACTTTTCCGCCAGAAATCTGTCCAATCCCCCTTTTAAAGGCATCTAGGCTAGGTGCTATCACCACATTCTGTGGCAACGAGTTCTACAGACTAACACCACACTGGATAAAGAAATATTTTCTTTTGTTTGTTCTCATTCTCCCAATACTCAATTTGAGTGATGTCTCCTGGTTCTAGTATTGCGAGAGGGAAAAGAGCTTCCCTCTATCCACTTTATCCACCCCCTGCATAATTTTATACATCTCTCAATCATATCCCCCCACAGGCACCTTTTCTCTAGACTAAAGAGCCCCAAACACTGTAGCCTTTCCTCATAAGGGAGGTGCCTCAGCCCAGTAATAATTTTAGTCGCTCTCTTCTGCACCATTTCCAGTTCCACTATGTGGAGCTTAACACTAATCTTTTCTGAGTTCCCAGTTCCCTCCAAAGGTAAGGACAACCCAGACCTTTAGTCTCATCTCCACGCTGTAAGCTTGAAAACCAAAGAGAACACAGGGCAGGTAAACCAAAGAACAAAAAATGTTGGGCCAAGAGAACTGTTACTTCCCCCATGGCCCAACTCAACTAACACCCACATTGTTTAATATTGGCAGAGTCTAAGGATGTCCTCCCCCCACTGTATAGAAGGTACGGTATGTATGATGATAAGAGCCAATGTTACTTTTTCCTTATGGTGCAGGGAGGAGGATGTGGGGGGTGGCCCTCTCCAAGGTTGCTAAGCTGTTGTCTGTTCTTCAGTGTAGAGAACACTCTCCTGGATATGATGCAGCTGCTTCTTAAAGGAAGAGTGGCTACCCATTTTTCCTCTTTCTCATATAGAGAGCTAACTTCAAAGCCTTTCTTTGGCCAATCCTAATTGGCATTGTGTAACCATTATCCTATCT